ACTCGTGCACCGTATACGATTGGGAATTGTATACACACATCACTCGTTGTGCCGCATCAAAAGAAGAACGTCTTCAGACCGCTCCACTGACGCATTGCGATACGCCAGTGGAGCATATCATTATAAAAAGTCCGCAATGTAATAAACAAGGTGCTCTACTGAGTGATCAATTGAACCACCTCGACAGACGACCACATACAATTGGCGAAGTGTTTGGACCGTGGCCTCATCATGATAATCAAATGCGCATTGAGCGCTCTTCATAATTTTTAATGGACACAAATTTAATTTTCCATAGTTCTTATTGCTCTATTTCATGGCGCCGAATCTCTAATATGAACATATCTCATATTCAGGATATAAGTGCATACAAATTATCTGATGGGACCCTGTTGTATGAACTGGACTATGCCCATAGAGTGTGCCCATGCATCGTACGGCCTATATTGTATACAGGCTGTCTCGGCTGGAAAGATCTGCTGATGCACTCTAAGAGGACGCGCCCAAATGCACGTTCTTTACTATCGTCTTGAGGAAGTCACACTATTGTTTATAGCGAAAACTTTTGTGACATCCCAACAAGAGCCAAATCTGCGCCGTATCTGTCCGCCGCCCATGTTCGTAACCACTATTGAGCGAAAAAAGAAAGAAAAAATGGCAGCATATCCACGGGGTGAATGATGGAGAGTGGGGCGAAACATCCGTCCGTCCATTCGTCCTTGCTTCCGTCCATCCATGCGTCCGTCTGAGTGACAGTCCATGCGTCCATCCGCCCGTCCATGCGTGCGTCTGTTCGTGCGTCCGCACGTCCATCCGTGCGTCCGTCCCTGCGTTCGTCCATGTATCCGCCCCTGCGTCGGTCCATGCGTCCATGCGTCCGTGCAGCCATCCATGCGTCCGTAATGCATCTGTCTGTGTGTCCGTTCGTCCATCTAGTCAACACTCCAAGTACCACCATCTCGTATCTTTTCATCATATATTCCACATATAGAAGCACCGCCATCCAGCGGACATTCCAAGGACTAAACGAGAGGTGGCACACGCACACTTTCTTACGGCCTGCGCTTTGGGTCCACTTCCCACCTTTAACCACCTCGAGTTCATGGTATATTCTAGTTCACTGTATTCATGGCACTGCGACCAAACGCTCGCTAAACCTTTCGAAAACCAAGGAGGTTACGCCCAGCGAGTATAACGTAGCAACCTTTCCCTGTCAGATAGGGCTCAATTTACATGCCAATGGCTGCTAATGAGAAATGAGAGACAGGAGAATTTGGCTTTTAGTTAACGCGCACGTTGCGATTTTTTTATTTTTCAACAACACGCAGGAGGAATCTCCCACCGGCACCACCTTACAGGTGAAAGCGTAAGACATGTAACGCACTACTACGAGGGATGAACGGGTGCTGCTTTAAGAAGATTTGTCCCTAAAAAGAAATTTATTAAATAAACAGACACCGTGGATATGAATGAATTCAAACTCGGGCTCTCTGCGTGGCAACCCAGTACTCCACCACAATGAGCAGTGCCACTTTTGTTTTGTTTCGTTTTGTTTGTTTTCCCATCGCTACTGAGCTACTCCATTGCTTGAAACATCAGTGCAGACTGACCCTATGTAGCCTTGACACTGGGTAAGATATTACATTAACGTGCGTAATACATTGTTTTAGAGCAGTAAAGTAAAAACCAAATGTCACACAATGCGACTAGCGTAACGAGTGGGTAGTTGAAAGCTCTAAACCATTAAGAAACCTCGGGCACAATCCTTCATCGTCGTCAGCCACAGCATCAATACAGTGCGCATAATGCCTTACAAGTATACGTAGCGGGTGCCATGCTTTTCCGAGGAATTTCCGAGGAATTCCACTGCCTCGTAACAAAACCATAGAGGACGCTTCTGCATTAGAAAGAAAATGACGATTCATAGCCCGAGGGTGGGTGCAATATACCGGGGTCGGAGGCCCGGAAGAGTAATTCTCGGGCCGAGCCATGGGCGAGCTCATTGCCTCTAACTCTGCAGTGGCCGGGTATCCATATCAGCTGTTTCCATTCACCTTCTGAGCGTGAGGACGAGAGTTGTGAAAGAAGTCGATGCGCAATGGGGCCAATGTAACCTTTACGAAAAATTCGGTAGGCTGCTTTTGAATCTGTCAGAATGAAGGTGGTCCTTAGGTTTCGTAGGGCGAGGGCCATTCCTGCTTCTTCCATGCTAGTTGTGTGTGTGTCGTGGGCTGATATAAAAAATCAACCTGTTTCGCACCCACCCTCGGCTATGTGTAGTTGCGTAAGTAGTCGATGCGCAATGGGGCCAATGTAGCCTTTACAAAAATTTCGGTAGGTGGCTTTTTAATCTGTTGGAACGAATGTGGAACTTGGGTTTCGTAGGGCGAGGGCAATTTCAGCTTCTTCCATACTAGTTGTGTCTGTGTTTTGGGCTGATATACAATCAACCTGTTTCGCACCCACCCTCGGCTATGCGTATGGACCCGCGCCTAACATACAAAGATATTCTAGAACATCAAAGACTCGAAAGACAGAAACTTCCGCCCCCGGGGCCAAAGCTCAGTAAAGAATCTCAGGTAGCGTGGCGTCTCCTGCAGACCTTGTTTTACCCCAATGCATACATACTGTCCAAGATAGATCCCGACACATACGCACGACAGTGCAGGTTCTGCGTCAATGAAACAGCCACCCTGTACCACATGGTATGGAAATGCCCACACAGTCCACCTCTACAACCCAGAGCACAGCACAACACTGTATGGTGGGAGGCAGCTCTGTCCAGCTCGGATCCGAAGATCCGAGAAGCCCTCGTGAGACGAGCGAGGACCACGGCCCATGCCAATGGGATCCCGGACTAAGGATCCCACTCACCGACATTCCTCCTCGGTCGCAAATAAATGTTTAATTCTCTCTCTATATCTCTCTATGACGATTCATAGCGTAATGGGTACCATGCAAGTGTACTTGTAGTAGTTGTTACAGGAGTGTTAAAAAGGCCCTAGAAAGGCCACTCTACCAGCTTTAAATGTGACTGTGCTGCACGTCCCGCGTAGGCCTGGTCTTTTTTTTTTTTGCTCAGTTGCCTAACTGGGCATTATAATTAACTTTCGTAGCAATGACGTTAACCAAATATTCTATGGATTAAAATTGTGAATTAGTTTGTGGAACGTGTGACTTGTTAGTGTCTAACTCAAGATTTCTCATTTACTAGCGTTTGTCTGCTTACTACAAAGCCCGCGAAATACAAGAAAAAAAAACACGTGACATGCCTGCTTGCACGCCTATATAGGTGCGTCATGATTGCAGTGCTTGGTAACATTTCGCGTACAAACGATATGCTACTCTCGCAATGGTTCTTGAACGCGACAACAAGAAAAGCGATTGCCACCCGTGTTTCCGCTTGTAAAATGTGCGTCCCAGCACATTCACCATCATCGTCACTGCTCTACCGAAACAACACACCCAGCGAAATACTGCGGTATTTTCGCACGAAACGTTTGGGAGCACTGCAATACGGCGCGCAAACGGGTATGTCACGTAGTATATTTTTTGCATTCAGCGGGCATTTGTAGTAAGGAAAAAAAACAGGAATGCTTAATAGATAAAAAGTTAGAAACTGTCTGTCAGGCGTTTTTAAAAGTCATACACCACTTTCTCGTAGTGATTTTTTGACCAAGTTCATCGCCTCAAATGTTACAATATTAAACATTCCTAATTAGGCAATTAGGTATTACGAAAAATTGTATGAAGCACTCCAGACGATAGCACGCAACAAACATATAGTAGCATTGTGATGGAGGGCCTCAGAATATTTTTCAATTCTGGCTAAAGATAGCTGGGGCAACCGGTATTTGTATGTCACGCCGTATATGACATGGTGCGTCTCATCATTTTCGCTTATGTTATTCTCTTTTTATTTCTGTTATGTTCGTTTGTATACTGATTGCTATCGCAATCTTGGGATACCCGGCTCTAACGAAGCCTACATTTAAATATTGGTTCATATAGAAATAAAAAACTAATTACCTACTCTCATAAAGATTGGTTTTATGCATCTTTAGCTGGGTTGGACTTCGCTATATGGGCACCCATTTAGATGGATGCCCATATAGTGAAGCTCCATAACGATACTAAAAACTGGAGGAGATGGGTGCCCTTTGAACTTGAAAACGCGGCTGCAGTGGCTGCATTTTCGATAAAGGCGAAAGTGCCGTATACGCCAGTGTTCTCAAATATGGGTGCGCGCTAAAGAACTCCAGGTGGTCAATATTTCCGGAGCCTTCTACTACGGCGTCTCCCATGATCACGTGGATGTTTTGGTGCGTTAAACCCCACATATCAATCAATCGAACTTAGAAACTGTTCTTCAAAGTATCCATCACATGACTTACTGGACTTCTGATCTATGCATAAGACGGCACTTTTAAAAGGCAGCCAGCTTTAGCGAGGTACTGAAGGAACTAACAGAAAACAAACTGCTGCAGTAACATTTAGCCCGTTCTTAACTTATCATTCATATTTTCCAGCTAGTGCTCACTCACCATGGTGTTGTTAGCAACCCAGTCATCAAACTGTCAGCTCTCACTTGGGCAGCACAAAGGACTTGACTGGTTTCAAGGTAATCTACGCTTGCTCCACAGAAGTACGTGACAGTAATATATCCTCGCGTACAAAATGACATCTTTTCACGTTTCCTTGCACGCTGATGTTCTTTCACACTGTCCACTCATCCGGTTTGCCGGAACTCATAAAACAGTACTATATACTTAGAGGTTCTATCACGTGCTTCTGAATATCGCTCGTATAGGTTCGCCATATTGTGTTGATACGTAATGCAATGTCATTGTCGCATATTGGAGTTGCCGAGACAATATACACTGTACACTTTTCGAAATGTGCTTTGATCATGAACGAGGTTTGTTTCCTGAGACGCGGCCCCGTGTGCGTAAGATTACATGATGTGACTAATTATGTTATGTTTGAAGCATTCTGCTCACCTGGTCGGCAGAGAAGAATGAGCCTCCCATGGCGATCCGTGTCCGCCAAAGTCATGACAAGATTGCGAGCAGCTGGGGGCACTCTGCTTGGAAGCAATTCCTGGTAAGACGACGCGCTGATGACTCGGCTTCTGTAGTAGTTCCTAATAGTTCGCAGGGCCGATTCCACGTCGTACTTTCGCACCCGCAGAAAGCGCAAAAGAAAGGCAGGGTCTCTCTGAGAATTCACTTCCGTCTCTGCTGTAAAATGACGCGAAAAACCTTTGTGCACTATTCTGTCAAGAGCTGAAGATGAACTTTCCCCAATGGTAAACATAAACAGCATAAATGACGCCGCTAAGAAAAAAAAACGGATACCCAGGAGCAGTGTTTCTCGACGATTGCTAGTTCTTAGGAGGATGTGCTTCTAGGCGTGACTAGGCTCACAGTTTTTTTTAAATTTCTAAACAAAATTGAACTTGGCGTCATGCTTATAGACATTTGTTATGTGAATATTCATTTTGTGTGTTTTTACTTGTTTTAAACTTTTTCTTTTCTTTCTCCTCCTTTCTTTCCTTAATTCATTTGTGTCTCCCCTTCCCAAAGGAGCAGGCAGGCGTTGTACCCCTTTAGGTGGAAGTTGTCAGCCTATTCCCTCCCTACTTTCTCTGTCTTCGGGTTTTCTATGTACTCAAACCAAATAAATAAATGAATAAATATTCACAACTAACAGACAATAATGCCAAAAGATGGATAAGCAATGTTGTTAAAATTCATTGTAACGTAAATGTGAAGAAAGAAACGTGGATTAAAAGAAGGCTTGCCACCGGCAGGATTCAAACCTGTGACCTTCGGATAACGTGGCCGATATTCTACCACAGTGATACGATGGTAATCAACCTTCAGTCCACTTTATAGAGTATACATGTACATTTAATCGTAGAGTAACTGTATATGGTCTCGTAGAGACCATATACAGTTAACTCTGCGTGGAACCGTCACTCAGCGCCACCTGTTGCCATTGCGGCGAGTGTGAAACACTCTTTTTTCCCTTTTGGTGTCACGTAGTACGTGCCGGTGGCCAGTCATCTTTTTGTCCACTTTTATTTCTTCACGTTTCCACAACAATTATTTTTAATAGCATCCTGTATATTTCTCTTGACATCATTGTCTGCTAGTTGTCATTCATATTGTGTCTAACAACAATACAAGACCTTAAACCTATACTTCTTTGTTTTAATGAGCGTATTTATTTTGTATTTAGACCACTTTGCTCATACAGAACATGCAGGATGGTTTACAGCCAAAGAAAATGCGAGATCTACACTGTGCGATCAAATCACGCTGAGAGAGAGAGAGAGAAAAAAAAAAGATGCAAGGAAAGGCAGGGAGGTTAACCAGGCGCACATCCAGTTTGCTACCCTGCACTGGAGAAGGGGTGTCGATTCAAGCATCTAGGTTACTTGTTTTGATTGATTAGACATTTGCGGAATACGTACAAAAACCAATTTGTTCACTTCTTCACCTTATTCATTTTTATTGATCATTAGCATATTTAGGCATCCCCTTTCAATAGTGAACGACATGGTAAATTTAAAAAAAAATGTTAAACCAGGAACTCGATTATGTCAAGCCCTTCTGACCCTGCATTTTTCTTCGCAGTTTCAGCTACATTTTACTTATATATTCACTGTTATCTTAATGCTGAAAATTCTAGTAATTTTATTTTACAATAATGCAAAGTCAGCTTATGTACTTCTACATTACCATTGCCATTAATAGTGATATCCAATCACTCGCTTCTCGAAGTACTAAAGCACAAGTTGCGAAAGCGAAACTCTGGCCAGCCAAGGCTCGAGCTAATTTACTACTGCACTTACAATTTCTTAATTCTAAACGCGTGGTGCGTGATAACAGACACGCTAACTACGAAGCACCGATGGTACTTAAGGAATTAGCTGATATTTAAGGAAAGTATACCTGTTTTATTCATTTCATTGTGACGCAGCTGTGTTTCGCCAGGTCGCAAGAAATGCCGCTACACCGGAGCACGACTTTTTTTAACAACTTTTTCTGTTTTAATTTTTGTGTATCCTTGATTGATATGTGGGATTTAACGTCCCAAAAGCACCATATGATTATGAGAGACGCCGTAGTGGAGGGCTCCGGAAATTTCGACCACCTGGGGTTCTTTAACGTGCACCCAAATCTGAGCACACGGGCCTGCAACATTTCCGCCTCCATCGGAAATGCAGCCGCCACAGCTGGCATTCGACCCCGTGACCTGCGGGGTGTATAATTGATAGCAAATCAACAAATCAAAGAGTTAAATAAGAAAAGAACTTTACGCATGTGTAAATGTGCATATGAAGAACACCTAAATACATTCAAAAGATTAAATCATTTTGTACATTTCTGAAGAGTAACGTAAATGTAAAATAAATATTAATAAATACGTCAAATTCAACACCGAAAATCAGGCTGCCTGTTGTAGACATTGAGCACAATTAAGTGTTCCCAAAATTTCCAATATTCAGACAACATAGTTCAGGAAATGAAACCTCGCAAATTTAAGAACCTACGACGTCACTTTTAGATCCTCAACGAGCATAGTCTTCTCTGCTTAGATATAACGAGATTAACTTCAGACCATGAGGCGTTTTACATGCGGCGCTCACACCGAGCGATTGTCGCAACATACGCAAGCCTCCATAAACCCGCAGCAGACGCCTCCCGAAGCACAGTCCGTTTTGCGCCTCGTTTAGTGTAGTATTTTTCTTTTCATTGACATGATGAATGAGGACGATGGCGCACAAATAAGGCAGTGGCTACTTCTTGGCTCTTAGAGGTGCCCAACGCAGAACATACGTGGTCGGAAAATTCCGAACACAAAGAATTCTCCGTTCATACAATATAAATATCGCTCAGGTCCTTACACAGCTAGCCACAATATAAACATACAACATAGTATAACAGTTCAAACAACATACTCAACAACAAAAATAGTAAACAACTACATAAGTATACCCTGTGACGTTCAACCAAACAAAGCTTAAATGTGTTGGTAAGAGCCAGCAATTCCACTGCCTTCAAAAAAATTTCAATGCTTTTAAATCGCACTTCTACAAACATCTTGAAATTTTTCATCAAGACAGTGGTATTCATTCATCAAGCCGTTGCCAGTGCAATTAGGCTTTGTTTATATTAACATATCTCTACATATTTATGTGACTGTTCACGATTTTCGGGTTGTTGAATAATGCCACGTTCCCTTTCTCAAGTTTTGTTATCGACCCCCAAACACTACACAATTCTCAGCGCCAAACGCGCGTGCAGTTTTCGAGAAGGCTTCCGGACTTCAGTAGATCATTTCGATAAGATCACGCCCACTATGCGAACTGTACAGATTATTCTGGAACCTACGCCACCGCCAGCGATAACGCTAGAACATTCGATGGCAAGAGTGTAAATGCCGACGCACTTCACCGCTTGTCAGTTGTTGATCGACGGCCGACGCTCCGTTCGCCGCTGTCAGTCCAAGACTACTACTGTAGTCCGACTTTCCGTTTACTGGAGACATGTTCGCCCAAATAAACAATTTATTATTCGACTCGCAGTGTGCTCCATTCGTCCATGTCACGACCCCGTGACAATATGTTGTTTTGACTGTTATGCTAGTGACGGTTATGTGAATTTTTATAATTGTATTTATTGTAACTAATACAGATCGCACCTCGCCAGGTTTACATCAATAGCTGAAGCTGGTCGCAAGCTCGAAGTTTGAGTAAAGCTCACCGTTTGAGTGCAGACAGGCCATTTGAGTCCTAATAGCCGAATGCCTCAACGGCACCAGCAGCGAGTAAAAGGGGGCCCGTTAGTACATTCATTTCGCACGAGGCCAACGCTCAGAGCAAGCGCGATGACCTTTATATAATGTGCACCGATTGCTTACCTTCCAAAAGTTCTGAAAGTCTTTCCAGGGATTCTTTTCTCTTCGCAGATGTCTCTCCCAACTCTTCCTCGGCTATCCGCTGCAACTTGTAAGGAAGAGCGCCTTCCGAACTATCCCAGACGTCGTCCACACATTTCTTGGTGTAAATTCCAGACATCGTTCGGAGTGGATTCGAAGGAAAAACAAAGAGATCTGACAAGCTAGACGTGTTATCTCTTCAATGTCTCGACTGTGAATACTGCGAGCGCAGTATACCGCATACAGGAAAAATGACGTCTAGGCAGCCTCGCGAAACAGTGACGGGAAGGTTTCTTAGCAGCTCTTTCTAGTACGTAAACACACGTGAGCTGGTCGCAAAGGAAAGTTTGCGAAAGAGCGCTTGTGGAAGCAATGCTAATTCCCTTGCCTGTATGCACATATGCGCATGCGTGCTGACGCAAAACGTTTGTTTATGACAGCTTCATCTACAATGGTCCTTTCACTTCGCTGCTTTTCCGGTTAGGCGGTGCTTTTACATACAGTGACGTGAAGCATTAGCCGTAGGCAATGGAAGCAACATCAAGTACAGCCTTGGCAAATGTATGCAGTTTTTGGCATTTTGCGAGCCCTGTTAACGTAACATTGCACCCAATTTTTGTTACCAAGATCGCATTCCGGCTGCTCTCGCGATGTAGTAGCGAGAACTAATTTAAATCATGGAGCCAATGAAAGTCATACATCCTAAAGGCGTATTACTAAGACACATATTTAAGGAAGCAATGTCTTAAAAGCAAAAAAAAACCAGTAATGCGATAGGAAGAGTAGCACAAAGAGCGAAAGCACAAAAAAAAAGAAAATCCAAAGAGCTCACTTACACATGCAAACACATTGACACTCCACCAACGTTGATGTATTAACGCGACAGCGTTAAATATTTGGATTCTCGGAAATTCAGATGTCGGCATCATTGTCGGCGTTGACGGTTATGAGCGAAAAATCAGCACTGTCCATGACCGAAAGATTAAGAAAGATGCAAATAAAACTAATAGTATAATGAAAGAACAATGACGACAAAAGGGAACAATAAGCATCATCGCAGAGTAAGGCTCCACGAGATCGGCGCTCGAGCTCCTCCATCTTCCTCGTCCTGTCACTATCTCGAATCATCCACCTGCCCGTTTGGTTCGCCCAATAAACCTCTTTACAATAGTAAGAATCTTCGGTTAAAGCGCTAATCGCACCCAGGACATTTGCATGGCAAGCAGGCGTTCTACCACGGAGCAATGCCATTGCTTGAAACTGTTTCGAAAAAAAAAAATGCACTATATGTGTGAATGCGATTCAGTGTGACGAGTATTGTTAAGCATGGTAAATTGCGTGGCAGAACCATAGAATAAGACAGGCCGCAAAACATTTGAACTGCGCAATGAGTGGGTGTTTCAAATCCCACCATTGCAAAACGCTAACACGTGTAATCGTTGTCATCAGCTTAAACAACAATAAAGTGAGTAGACGCGTACGCTTGCGGGTTGCCTTACCAACGCGTAGAGGGCCCTTGACTGATTCGCGCAAAAGATAATGATAGCGCATAGTGAGCACTGTCCAACCATAGTTAAAGTAGTTCTAGAGTAATCACAAAACAACAGCGGCAAGAACGACGGACGAGCACACAGAGGCAAGTGAGCGCTTGCTTCTCCCTGTGTGCTCTTTCGTCGTTTCCTGCACAGTTTTCACGATCATGAATAACTAACCAGCGAAAAACACCGCACGGAGACAGCCAAAGAGAAACACCACACAGGACAAACGCATCTGCTTCGCCGTCTTCGAGTGGTTTTTTCTGCTGGTTTTGTCTTTCGATCACTGGGAGTGTCACGCACGCACGCACACACACAAAGACGTAGCATATATAGTAGAATGGCCACAGGCTTTTGCATAATGCCTCACATGTGTGTAGCAGGTACCTCCCTTTATCCGCAGAATAACAAATAGTGGCATTTTGGGTGCCTCCTAACTTCCTGAATGAGACGGTAGTTTGTGGCGACGTGGGTCCATATTATTCAATGTATCACAAAGTAGCGGAAAAAAATAGACATTTGCAACGTTTAAACCCTTACAACGACCCCGGCTGTCGACCTTGCTGCGTAGTGGGTAGCTTGCATCTGTACTTGTATTAGCTGCCCCCATAATGGTCTACGACGGGCTCTGGAAAGTACACTTTTCCGGGTTTCACTATGACTATGCTGCGGGTTCTGCGCCGGCCTGGTTTTTTTTTTTTTTTGTTTGCAGCAAAACCTGTTATAAGATGAAAACTTGAGTCACGCGCAGTGCCGTAGTTGTCCGCCACCACCGCCGGTGTCCGTAACCACTATCGCAGAAATAAGCAGAAAAAACCTAGTACCCAGGACCCAGTGAAGCTCGAACTCGGGTCCACTGCGTGCCAGCCCAGTATTCTACCACTGAGCCAAGCCAGTGCTTGGGACTTGTTCGCAAACTTGCCCTAAGCAGGCTTCATGTCGGGTAAGCAATCGCGTTCATACTTGAACAGCAAAAGAACAACCGAGCTTCACACAATGCGAATAGCGTAACGAGTGGCATCGATTGATTTGATTGATATGTGGGGTTTAACGTCCCAAAACCCCCATATGATTATGAGAGACGGCGTAATGGAGGGCTCCGGAAATTTCGACACTTGACGTGCACCCAAATCTGAACACACGGGCCTACAACATTTCCGCCTCCATCAAAAATGGAGCCGCAGCAGCCGGGATTCGATCCCGCGACCTGCGGGTCAGCAGCCGAGTTCCCTTAGCCACTAGACCACCGCGTCCAATACTCCAACCCACTACAAAAACTTGTTCTTGATCACCTACTTTAACTGTGGCGCATACCGTACTTCGTCGCATAATTCCTCATCGTCGTCAGCCACTGCATGAACAATTGGCACAAAATTTCTTTCATTTAGCAGACAGCACGCTTCTTAGACGAATTACGAAAAATAATGTAGTGGATGCCGGCCGACTACCCAACAGTTTATTATCAATGCCATCGTGGGTATCAAGCAAGTGTGTTTGCAGCAGTTACCCAATGAGTGTTTAGAAAAGGGCTCTTAAAGGCACTGTGATCGTGCTGCGCCTCCCGCACAGGCCTGGCGTTTCTTGTTGTTGTTTTATCTCTCGATAGAGTGTCCACACAGTAAATTTTTGGTTGGCCGTTCTGAATTCTAGGAATGCAAGATCAGATTTAAGTCTATTCTATTCGAGAAAATAGCACTTGTTTCTGTTAGGCAACAGTTTAAAGACGGAACAAACAGGCTGATACGAAAGATTAGACGACGTTTGAGCGTCACTTTCAAGATTAGATTGCGATAGCGCAATCGCCCCTCGTGCGCATCTCTTCAATAATGCTCGCTTGCTTAGGTTCTCGGTGCGTGCATCAACCGTGCCGCTATGAAGCGAAAGACTGCGCGCGAATAACTTTGGCCGCTTCAAATTATCATTGAATGTTTATTGCAAGCACATTCAATGCTAGGAGCCTGCTTTGCTATAACTATTCATTTTCGCCAATCAGCGAAAAACCCTCTGTGCGCTCGTAGTGAAACACGCGAACCTATAGGCAGCTGTCCACTTCTTTGATGGTTCTGCGGCTGGTGATGATTGAATGTTTAACCGCTTTTTTAATGAGTGGGCCTTTGAAATTACCTTTCATTACATTATTGTTTGACGCCTGGCGCGAATCTACTCTTCTGCGATACCATATAATATGCGTCATATGTAGACTATAGTGAACCAGATCATATTCTTAGTTCACTATAATGTAGATAGACTCCTTCGTCCACATGGCATTCATAGTTATTTTCTAGGGCACTTTCAGCAAGTTTCAGCACTTCAGTGGTAGGTGCTTTGGGTGCGATCCTCCTTCGGTCCCAGAAATTTCGGTTACCTATTTTATTCCCATTTTTCTCGAGTTATCTGTCCCTGACGCTTCCTTGGTCTATCCTCCAGAGTGGGTATGTGCCAAAACACAGATTTCAAATCGAATAAATTCAAATAAACACAAAGCGCTGTTCAGTTCTAGTATGCACCGACCATCCCAAGTTAATTGAGTGGGATGTTATTCTTGGCTGCAGCTGTACGTACGTGATGTTCTCACATGTATATTACGTAGGAAAGGCGTAAAGAAAAATTGACGTAGTTCGGTCCGTCTGGCATGTTTGTATGCAGGTCATCTCGCTTTCAAGAGCGGCCTTGTTTAACGAGTAAGAGTATTAATAAGTGCATACTTATTCATATGTTTTGTTACATACACACGCACGCACACAAACACGCACACTGTCGATTGGACCGGTGCGCGCTATTATTGCCGATGATGGGCTCGTTTTCAGTCGTGACAACTGTCGAACAAAATGTGTTAAAGGGGCCCTGAAACACTTTTTCAAGTAACCATGGAAGGAATTCACTAGAAGAGCTTATTGCTTCATGAATTCAACGCCACAAAAATTTTAAGGATCCGTCCAGTGCGAGTGGAGTTACAAAGGTTTGTCGCATGCTGCAATTGCATTACCTCTTCTCTTGTCCCGACGAAAGCGCTGGAAGCGGGGCAGGGAGGGGTGGCAGGGCAAAGAAACTACCGTGCCTCGTGACCTTGAGCACTTTTTTTTCTTCGAATGTGCGGCTTTTTTCAGTGTGATCTCGCGCACACGCGTGGACAAGTTGTGGCCTCCCGCGGCTATCTCGGTACCTTGATTTTTCGCTCACAACCAACAGGGCCGACACCAGCGGCAGGTTTTTGTGACACGAGCTCTTTAACGCTATCGCGTTAATGCCCAACTTAGTGCAAGGGCCGCATTTATTGTGGTGAAAACATTTGATCTACTGCATGACTAAATTGAAATTTTACTTTTCTAAGTGTTCGGATAAAATATAGTAACAAGTGATTGTGTGCTGTGAAAGATTATATATTTTAAAATATTACAAAAGTTTTTTTCATTAAGAAATTTGAAGCAGTGACAGAACTATCAGCATGATACAGTGAACTATAACAGTTCAAAGAAAACGAAAAGCCTACCGGCTGAACATGTATACTGGGAATACTGTCGATAGTACTACGAGGCATTCCGTTATGCACCCAACAATTTGCACTGTCTCCTTGGATTCAGGGGTGTTCCTGGAGTACAACCAAATACTCGCGCGAACTCTGGCATAAACTGAAAGCTTATGTCGCAAAGTCCATGCACTCTGTCTTCGTGCATGCCAAGTACACTTCAGATAGCAGGCAGAAATGAACAATAGCTGCATGTTGTCGTAGAATTCAAGTCCCACTAGCCGGTCGTTGCTATCATTAAGCGCACGGCTCGTGTAGGTGTCAATGACAGCTTTGCTAGTGATAATCTCTGCCATGGCGTCAAGGGGATTTCCGGTCGTGCGAGAAGCTGCCAGCCGTGATGCAGTCCAACGTGGCATGGATGTACTCGCGCTTGGACGCGTTTTGTAGGTACGCGGAGATGAATAGCATACCCAGCGCCTGGGCCACCCGTAAACCCAGGCCTCCGTAGTTAAGCGCTGGAATCAAATCGACGTTAAAGTGTAGGAAGGACAGGGAGTACGGCATCATCTGAAAGTCTTCGCCAGGCCGCAATGCAGCAAACTCGAGTGACGTCATGGCGCTTACGACAGCGTCGTCCCACTCGCTCCAGTCAGCAACCGGAACCTAACTTACGCCAGTTGGCAACAAACGAGTTGCCCAGATCCAGCGAAGGCAATGCTTCGGAGTGGCCATCGTGGCTCTCGCTGTCTTCGTCTCGGATGCGGAACGCCTCGAACGGCGCCTCTAGGGAACTCCAGTTGGCTACTACTCTGATACCTTCGTCGTAATGAACCCATTTCGCTAATTGTTGGTGCACGGCTTCGCGGATTTGAAGAGCGAGCCTTTTGGCAGCGCCTAGTCTTTTCATGTTAAAAGCCTTTTGGTCGTATCTATTGGAAAGCGCGTGCTTCGAAAACCGATAGGCTCGGCTCAAGCAAAAGGCACCCTGACGAACCATTGCCCAAACCTTCGTTCCACCGTAAAACTTGAGGATGAGGTCTTGGTTCGCGTACAGCGCTGCAACCTGCACGGTGCCCCAGGAGACTAGCCAGTACACGTCCACGTCGCCCAGAATACGCCAGAGCTGCATGAAGGCTTGAACATACTTTAACGTCAGTACGCGGAAGATGAACTCACCAGTCACATTGAAGTCGTCTTCCGCAAGAACACGACGCCAGCTCCTCTCGGAGAGACTCGCCAACGACCCCTCACTGAAGGCGTCGGGCGGCAAATCAACTGCAGCGGACGTGTCCTTGTATAACTGCGACAGCTCGCTCATAGCTGCGTACTCGAGGTCCATCAACTTTTTGAAGGTTACTTCGTCACCCACGTCATCGTTCTCGAAACTATTCTTGAGCGCGTAAAAGTAATCTTTCTTCTCAGTGAATGACCTCAGCATCGCGAACTGGTAGTACAGCTGCACGAAGGACGAGCCACGGCCGACGACGATTACGTGGTGACCGTCTACTCGAGTAGGAATCACGCGCAGGAGGGTGTCCCAGCCCAGTTTGGCACTGGTGTACAGGAGCACGCGAAGGACGTCGACTCTAGCGGGACGGTGCGGCCACGTTATGCCGGCTTCAAGTAGGGCTTGCCTCACAGCGGGCAGTTCATCTCGGGCGCCTTGGGCTACGTCGTAGCAGCTCTTAAAGGCAGCGGCCGCCCTCTGCAAGTCATCCTGACCCGTATCGGGGATGACGATGCGCTGTATTAGGCGTCTGATACGGTCTAGGGTCTCCCACACGAGGTCGTCATGCACCGAGAGCATGTTTTCACGCCGCCAGCCGTCACAGACGAAGTTCGTAAAGCTGTCGCAGGGACTGACCGACGTGTTCAGCGAGGTGGCTAATCGGCGGCCGTACTCACGGCACTCGTGCGTCCTGCACGCGTTGGTGTTTGGGCCGGGGAGGAGCATCCTGCTCATCAAGAGGCCGAGCACGACCACGGCGACGAGAAAGGCCGGGATAGCTGTGACCAAGTACTGCTGTTTGGAGAGGCCGCTGTCGCTTCCCTGCGTATTTAGTGCACGCATATCGTGTTGCACAAACCTTACCTAATCTAAGCTGTCCTGATGATTAAGAGGCGATGTTACGTTAATCAAAATGACGCTGATATATGCCAAGAACTTGCCAATGATATACTAAGCAATATTGCTGACCCACGGGGATACCATGAGATATTTACGATGCCGTCGGCTAACTGATATGTGCCGCTGCGTACCTGTGCTTGATAACCCATCTCCGTCTGAAAATAAGTGTGAAAAGTGGTTCCATTTTATGGAATCCGAACCATAATAATACAGAGAAAATTCTCGATAGACACACCGATACTTCCTTTGGTGAAAGTCAGCTTCAGAAGTTGACATTGTAGTTTACGCCGATTCCTCAATCTGATAACATATACGCACGACAAACAACTATGTAATATCGTTAGATATACCAGCCGAGGTGTACTGTAATGGTTATGGCGTTCTGCTGAATTTGGGGTCGTCGACTGTATCCCAGTCATGGCAGTCGAATTCTGTGGGGTGAAGCGGCAAAGGGTGCAAAGGCACGTCTATGTAGACGTGCCTTTGCACCTTCGGTCTTTAACGTCTATGTAGACGTTAAAGACCGGAAGCGATCTAATTTCCACTAGACTAACCCTTAATGATGTTTTTCGTAATCATATCGAAATTTTGCCTTACAAACCCTTTTTGCAATGTCATACAACACACTAATCAGGAGACAATATATTCAACAGCTGGTTGGTATTGTTTGTATTAGTCTGATTCATCTAATATTTCGAGCTCTGCAACATACTACCACAATCTAATTCGCAAGGTTATACGAAAAATTGATGCACAAAAGCGCAATATCAGAAGAATTCGAAATCCACGTTCAGATGCGTGTTCGCTCCTATATTTCAAGCTAACATTGAAGACCGGTAGAGTGTGGTTCATGCTTTTCAAAACTATTAGTACGACTTTCAGAAGTATGCGAGTCCGAAAAATGCTTTAATTTTCCTTGGCCAGGCTTTAAAAAGCACTATTCCTTATACACCTGTACGACGTCTAATCTCAATAATGATAATTTGTGCGCTGTTACGTGCCAAAAGCGCGTTATGATAATTACGCACGTCATAGTGCAAGGCTCCAGAAACTTGGACTATCCGGTGTTCTTTAACGCACACTAAAATCGCACAGTACATCGGCCTGTAGCGTTTTGATTCCGACCAAATGCGACCACTACTGCCGGGATTGAAACAGGGGCTTCCGAAATAGCAGCCGAGCATCATAACTACTGTACCACTGCGGCGGCGGACATATATTATTAGCTTCGATTTCCCGAATGCGTAAGGAAACAAACGCACATCTAGGAGACCAAAGAGAGTTCGATGAGACCCTTTGCGGCTCGGTGCGACCACGCTGAGAGTGGTTACACCATCATGCGCCATGTATGGCGCGGCTGCCTTCATGGACTCTGGCTTGGGCAGTTATCCCTGGGCTTCGCCTTCGGACATGATAGGCACCAGGGTGCGCACTTCCACCGCCGTAGGTTGCGAAGCGGGTAGTGTCATCGGCGCAGTCAGATCTTCTTTCACGATCGACTGCTGAGCGAACACCGGAGTCTCAGGCAGGGAGAGCACCGGAGCCTCAGGCAGAGCGTCTGTCGCCGTCAAATCCGAGGTGACTGGCACAAAGGCCAGCGGTAACGGGGTAATTGCTGGAAGAAAAGAAAAATAGGTGAAAGCTCAATTTCATTGTGCTGACTAAGGTGAAAGACATGCGTTAGAGTTACGACTGCAGATCGGGCACCGCTGGGGTCGAGCACGTGTAGACTCTTAAACAGGCCCCTGGAACACTTTTAGCGCGGCCAGAAAACGTGGTTGATTGTTTGTCGAGTCTCTTGGAACATGTGAACTTGCCTGTAATTTGCAAATTTACAGCACAGCTAAGATCTGTTCACTCTACGTTCTACAAATCATGCCATATACACGAATTACTATGGCATATACCTAGTTTCATGGCCATTGGCCGAATCATGTTCTGCATATCACCGATACTACCACCACCTTACTGGGGAGGAGGGGAGGGTATTGCTCAAGGCTATGACGCGTGCGTGACGCCACGTCTTTCCATGTGTCATCACTTCCTACTTAGGTTCCAGCATGCTCGTCGGGACCAGAAAAGAGAGAAGGCAATTTCAGCGTGCGACAAAGGCGTGTGCCCAGACGACCGAAGCGTGACAGCCGATCGCTTCTGCTACTAAAGCCTGCTCCTGTCCTGTTGATGAACTAGGATATTTACTCCTAAGCTGGTATCACCGGCCGTCTGGCTCGGGATGTAAGTCTGGAGTGCAGGCCCATTGCTGCAGGCTTGTGTGCATCCGCCTTCGCGGTGGATATGCCGCGGAGTTTTGAAGTTGTATCCGTCTATAAGCTTGATTACAAGCTAAGAGAAATGTCCGGACTTTTCAAAGTTGTATCGGACTATAGTGCAATATAAGTACCTGAAATGACAGGGCTGCATTGGTCCACAGCGGCGTCAGCACTCTCAGCTATCGACCTTCGCTTCTGTGCGACTGGAAGGCCCTTGCGACGTTTAATTGAAGACTTCGTCGACACCTCGGTCTGCGTGGAGGAGCTAGGCCAGCGCGAAGCCCCGACCTAGCGACTGGTCTGTTTCCTCCACTACGGTCATGCCGGGAGAGGCGCCACGACCTGAAGTCACTACCAGGGATGGGTCCACATCCTCCCCTACAGTCATGCTTTGAGAGACGGTGCCATCGCCGTTGCGCTTCCGGAATCGCCGCTTGAACTTCTTTTTAGACTTGGACTTTGACTTGCGCTTAGACTTGGAGCCTTTCGAGGGTTGCTTTTTGGTAGCGGCGACAGACTGCGTCGAAGGCTCCATACTCGTTCGCAGTTCCTTCTTCTTCTGCACGTAGCTCGAGAACACGAGATGGTGATGATTATGATGGTGATGATGCCCGGAAGAATATCATAACGCACCACGAGGGATCGGCCACGAAGCGTGCGGCAGTAGAATTTGTGAAACAAGAAGTAAATAAATGAATGATTGAGAGAAAAAAAAATAGGGGGTAAGGGTGTGGGAAAAAGTTAACTATAGGGAAGCAAAAATGTTTGTTATAATTCTGGTATCTTTTTAAGGCAATGCTACTTGAAGTAATCCTAAACAATTGAAATAAGTAGTTCATATAAATAGATGGGCCATGGCTGAGCGGTGATGGTGATATAAGGTGGTGCGACCATGGTGGGAGCTTATGCAGCAGAAAGGCGCCAAAAAATATGAAACGTATGTAAACAAGTGAAGTCAATTATGCAATCATTTATTAAATGCATTTTCTTGCGTACTGTAGGTACCATTATCGTCTATCTGCATATCTATCTATCTATCTATCTACCTATCTATCTATCTATCTTGCCGCCTACGTCTGGGCACTCTCGTATTCACCCCCTTAACTTAGGGTAAACAAAAATTAATAAGAGAGGGCAAGATGCTTTCACGAATATGACTCACTGGTGATGACATGCATAGTGTGACAATCCCATCGCATACTTGGTCAATCCTTTCCGCCAGAGGCGTGTTTCATGTACCCGCATACCAGGGGCGGGTATGTGCCACCGGTGATTGAGTGCTTATATCTACCCAAGAACGGGAAGAACGGACATTGGTAATTTTAACGCGACAGCGTTAATAAAAAGCTCACATCGGCAGCATTCACCCGACGAACGCAAAGAATAAATGTTAGTGTCCCAGTAGGAATCGAACTCAAGCATTCTGCGTAGCATTCAAGTATTCTACCACACAGTCATGCCAGGTGTCGGAACTCCTTGGAAAAAATACACAACGCAGGCGTAATGTTGGTGAAACATCATGTGTGGTTGCAGTGTTACTCATCTAATTTTGTAAGCATTTCTTATGTATACTCTGATGACACAGGCGTCACGTCAGGTTAGCATTAAACGCCATCCACTGAGGTTTGTTTACGTGGCACAATGAGCGCTACCGTCCTCGCAAGCACAAGCACTGCACACCAGCTTACCACTTCTGGTGTACGTTGGTGATACCCATGTTGCTGTTCGCATCGTTACGCAACTGTGAAGAACTGCTTGTATAAAACATATGCGACTGTTCAACATATTCATGTGTGGAAAACATTTACACATATCTTTATCGTGATTTCATGACGTTTCGCACAATGAAAAAATACTACACAGTCACCTTCGCTCCGCATTCTTCGCATATCATCGTGTCTTATGGTGTATGGGTTCCGCGAATATTTAACCTGCAACGCTCGCTGAGCCAGACTCCTCCATTTCAGTCTGAGAGCGTTGTTATTTTCTCATTCTACCGTTGATTCCGGGTGCGAAAAAAAAAAGACTTTTCAAAGCTCTGTTTAGCCACTTTTGGCCTTGTCTAATCTTATAACCATTATCTCTTATTGTGGATGCTCGAGTCTAAATGTTCGCTTTGCCACGTGTCATTTCTTTAGCCACATCAACTGACGGCTACCATGTACTGCTACAATTTTTATTGGCTTTTTCAATGTTTAAAGCTAAATTTCATTTCACTTAAATTTTTACTTCATTCACTCTAAAAGTAATGCTCTTCTTCCTTCTCTCCAAGATTTTTTTTTTCTATCGCTCTTTTTATGGCGTTGAATTGGTCCTTTTTTATCGCTAGTTTAGACTCACTACACTAATTCACCATCTACCGTTCACCCCAAGCAACAGTGCATCTCGCTCGCACTAACTTCAAATCATGCTTGAAGTAATCGCGCAATTTTAAAAAATTCAACGTTCTGCCCCTAGGAGCTTGAACTCTTCATTCCCCCCTCCATAACACCAAAGCCGAAACCATGTTTTTAAGTTGCCTCGGAGGATGCAAGGTCACTTTCTACGTTTTCGAATGAAAGGAATGCGCGAAAAAAGCGAGGGTGCTTCCTATAATCTTGTGTAAAGCTTAGGAGACTACGCATGAGGCCCGCCGACCTTTCGCTATCAGGCCACAGCGCACCCATGACAGTCATCATTCAATGTTTTTTAGGGGCGAAGCTCCTTAAGGCGTGGGCTGAGCGTCCCGTCGTAACCGTATGTAGCCACTTCTCGTTAGTTCTTTAACCAGCCGTACCAGGCGGTACTCGTACATAAAACGAAATGCATATACGCTGAAAAATATAAATTGTACGATACTAGAGGACGTTACTTGTAGTATGATAAATAATAAAAATCGCAGCATATCCATTGAGTTAATGATGATGAGTGGGGCAAAGCGTCCATCAGTCCGTCCGCGCTTCCATCCGTCCGTTCGTTCTTGCTTCCGTCCATCCGTTCGTCCCTCCGTTCGTTCATCCGTTCATCCATGCATCCACCTATGCGTCAGTCTATTTGTTCATCCAACCATGCGTCCATCCGTCCATCCATTCGTGCGTCCATTTGTTCGTCCATCCGTGCCTCCGTCGCTGCGTGAATTCATGTGCCCATCCACCCGTCCGTCCAATCGTGCGTCCATCCATGCGTCTCTTCATCCCTGCGTTCGTCTTCGCGTTCATCCATTCGTCCATCTGTGCGTCCGTCCATGCATCTGCCCGTGCGTCCGCCCATGCGTCCGTCCTTCTGTCTATCGGTCCGGCCATCCATCCGCTTCGCCCAACTGCGTCATCATTCACCTCGTGAATATGCTGCGATGTCTTGCTGACTATGCGGCTGTTTGTGATATTACTAAATGGAACTCGCATTATGTTCTCGCCTATCATTAATAATACCATTTTCTTTTGGTAAGCTGCACAGATGTGTCTGGTCTTAAGCATATCATTTTTCTTGAGTCTCCCCATGCGGTTATTTTTGGTTGAAACATCACCGCGGAACTAACACTGTAAACCTGTGTCCCAATTTCAAGTATTGTTGAGATCGGTATCGATATGTTTCTGAATCATCTTGTCAAATTCATGTCAAAGAGAGAGAGAGAAACAAATAAAAGGAAGAGACAGGGAGGTTAACCTAATTCATGTCAAAAATGATTCATGTACGAGATATGGTAACGGGCTTCTTTCAACGCTAGCTTTTGTTTTGTTCAAGCTCAGCCCCCCTCTCCCCCTCCTAGGAGGAGGAGGAATAAACTTTATTATAAGAAACCAGCAGGTTTAGGTGGCCGGGCGTAGGCCTCCGACTTTGATTTTTTTGTTTCACTGTCCCAGCCCACTGCGCGACTAAGCTCGCGATTGAAGCTCGATACCTGACGTTAGTTTGAGAGCCCCGGTATACGTCATTCCCTGACTACGCCCGTGAAATAGACACGTCAGCCATGCGGTCATGTGTAAAGAAATTAAGGCAACCTCCTACACTAGGGGTGTCAAACCTGGACGAATTGCGAAGTCGAGCAGTGGCCATTTTTGCGGAGCAATTGCATTTACGGAGCAGTGTGCGACTAAGAAACGCGGAAATGCGGAGCATTTCTTAGTCGCACAATGTCGTGCATGGGCGTCGGTGGCACCGTCCACACTCTACTGCACATGCTCGGCTCGCCTCGAACTGGCCCAAAAAGACAATCGCAAAACTGTCGCTCCAGGCGGGCGTTCAGCAAGGCAAGCATGCGCAGTGGGGTGCGAACCTCTCTCCCCGTACTCCTGTTCCTCGAGCACGGGCGGTGTGTACAAGCGGCGGAGCGCGCGTTCGGAATCCAGTCAAGGGCGTCTCCTCTCCGTCTAATACAATGACGGCACCAAGCAATAAAGACCCACTTTTACTTTACACTCCTTGCCTTTGCTTCTCCTTCTTTCAATAAATAGTAATAATAAAGAAGAAAAGACAATTAAGCAGTTTCATGCCATATCCAATTACTCAACATTCAAGTGATACCCACACCACTCTGCGACGCATTTACTCGAGTTCCAAAAGGGTGTTAGGTACAAATCGCTAGGATAATCACTTGTGTTTCTGACGAATAAACTGTTGAACTCACTCCTGCAATAAATGCAAAAATCTGAAAAATGTTACGTATACACACGACACAGCCACTGGCTTCCCGCCTGTGCCAGCACATATCCAACTGCCTTATGCTTGTAGTATTAAGGTGTTCATACAGATGAGGCAGGCTAACTACGATTGTGACGTTCAACCTTACCAGGTGGAGTTGCGGAGCCAAATTCACTGAACTTTTCCTTCGTAAGCGTGCTTTTCCATTCACCAGCAGGCTAGGCTAAAGATATGTCCAGCATCATGATTGACTAACATCATCATCATCATCATCATCATCATCATCATCATCATCCTGACTACGTCCACTGCAGGACAAAGGCCTCTCGATGTTCCGCCAGTCAACTCGGTCCTGTGCTTGCTGCTGCCAATTTATACTCGTAAACTTCTTAATTTTATCTGCCACCTAACCTTCTGTGTCCCCCTAACCCGCTTGCCTTCTCTGCGAATCCAGTTAGTTATATTATATTACCTTAAAAAACCATTTATCGTAATACGTTTTTGCGAATATGATCCCTGTTTTTCGCCAGAACAGTGCATGCTAATACTTACATTGTGTACAGGTTCGTTACTCTTTGAACAGATTCCATGTCTTGCCAACCAGAAAAACGACGCAACTGCAGTGAATTATTAGGCCACACACAATTTCCTCAAACTACGCGCTAGTTGAAGTTCGCAACGCAGTCACAGAGACGTTAGCTCCTGCTTCAGTTCCTCGGTGTCAGGAGGCAAATCGTCCTGGTCTCTCATGGGGTACCCGAACCGATTGGCGGCGGCGAAGTCTTTTTCCGCGGCGTCCACTCGCTTCCAAAATTCGTCCGGGTCGATAGGCGATCCCTGACCTCCGTAATCCTCCGGCAGAGTCTTAGGCGAGATCTCTTCGTGGAGCTTCTCGAAATTGTCCCCGTGGAATCGAAACTTGATAATACAAAGAAATGAACAGAGCATGAAAATGAGAGTAAGTTTTGCAGTACTCGAGGAAAGAACGTTTTGCCTAAGTAAATGGTAAAAAAGAGTAAAACTTCTTACCCTTTCGGCCAGCTTCGCTTTGATGAAAGGTTTGATGAGGGCAAAAAACAGGTCGAAAGCATATGATTGCTTCACGATATGTATTGCTTTCATTCTCATAGGCATGCAGTCCTGAAAAACAACAGAATTTTCCATTTCTTTATTCCCGAGCAAGCATCATTAACATGCAAGAGCAAGTACCATTAACATAAACATGGACCATTAACATGCAACTTATGTCACTACTGCTCCTGAGGTAGGTGGGTGCTTTCAATACATTCTCACTTACAGGTATAATACCAGTCAAGTTGTATATTTGGTAAAAAATACAATTCACGTCTCAAAGTATTCGTGGTCATCATGATTATTGTTATGAAAATTGTTTTCTTTACCTGCTAAGCATTTCTCCCACAATGGGTCATTCAGCTAGCCCTCAAAGCGGCCGCCAGGTATTCCATGTCGGTCCCTACGTGGGAGACGCCCACTTCGCGCTAAGTGCATCTTGCAGAACAAAAACAAAGTTTTTTCATTGCATTCCCGTTACCTTAACCTACTTACCTCCATTCAGATGCGTGCTATATCACTATAGCTCCAAATATATCCTCGACATTCATAGACCCTCGTTAATGAATAAGGGAAAGAAGCGTATACCTAAGGGCCCGTTTTTCCGTGTTTTGACACAATAGTAATGAGATCTAACAGACAATAATGTCAACGAATTTATAGGGAAAGTTATTAGAGCCAATGTAAAGTAAATAAGACGAAATAAAAGGGGGTGACGTACTACAACTATTTGTTATAAACAAGCTCTCCTAGTTTTTCGTTCTGAAATATATATATATATATATATATATATATATATATATATATATATATATATATATATATATATATATATATATTGCACCCGTATGTCACAGCTGACCATCACTATTCTTTCACCATCCCGCATACAGCGGTATAGTCAACCTGAAAATCTAAACTTTATTTATTTGCTTATTATTCCACCTCGCCGGTCAACCATGACACGCTTGTTCAAAGAATAAATACGTGTAAGGACGAAGTTATTTGATAAATATTTTGATAAAATATTATTTTTGTATCAGTAGCTCCAATCTCCGTTTCACGGCAACTTTCTTTTCAGTGTTTGTCTTAGCTGCAGCAACCCTCTTCTACATGGAAAAAGATTCACAGTTATAGTCTGGGTGCGCACCTGAATGTATTCGAGGGCTCTCCTGATAAGGCCGAAGCTGAACGAGATAATCTTGTCAGCTGTAAACTCCGCGAAGTCCACCAACAGCACAACGCCAAGGATCTGCGCTGCCGGATCAGCTGCAATGTATTCCATGCAGATGAGCCAAGTGCACTGCAGGTCTGCGTACGGTATCTCAGCTGGCATCCATACACCTGAAGCAAAGAGATGGGATTATGAAACGTGTTTTGTAAAGCCTATCTAAAGGACGACTATATATATATATATATATATATATATATAAATTGAGGACGACGCAGCGAGCAATGGAAAGAAAAATGGTAGGTGTAACCTTAAGAGACAAGAAGAGAGCAGAGTAGATTAGGGGACAAACGGGGGTTAAGGATATTATAGTTGAAATAAAAAAGAGGAAATGAACATGGGCCGGGCATGTAGCGCGTAGGCAGGATAAGCGCTGGTCATTAAGGGTAACTAACTGGATTCCCAGAGAAGGGAAGCGGCTTAGGGGGAGACAGAAGGTTAAGTGGGCAGATGAGATTAGGAAGTTTACGGGTATAAATTGGCAGCAGCAAGCACAGGACCGGGTTAACTGGCGGAACATGGGAGAGGCCTTTGTCCTGCAGTGGACGTAGTAAGGCTTATGATGATGATGATGATATATATAGGCAGGCATGGTGGATGAGTGGCCGTAGCGTTGCATATAGTTCAGTAGATCCTCCGTGAGCGGTCACAACGTGGTTTATTTCGACGTTTCGGCCTATAGTCTGGCCTTCATCAGGATTAATCAGTATTAGGTAATCCTGATGAAGGCCAGTCTCTAGGCCGAAACTTTGAAATAAACCACGTTGTGACCACTCACGGAGAATCTACTGGACTATATATATATATATATATATATATATATATATATATATATATATATATATATATATATATATATATATATATATATATATATCCTTTTTTGTGTTCCGTGTTTTGACACAATATTATTGAGATGTAACAGACAATAATGCCAAGGGAATTATAGGAGAAGTTATTAGATCGAATTGTAATGTCAATGTGAAGAAAGAACGTGGGTGAAAAAATAACTTGCCGTGGGCAGGAGCCGAACCTACGACCTTTGAACAACGCATTCGATGCTCTACCACAGAGCTACCGTGGCGGCTATCCTCCTAGCCACTTTATTGGGTATATATGTGAATTTAAACATGGGAGTGTCAGTGAGTGCCATCAGTAGCCGTGGTGGCGAGTGTGGCCCACTCTTTATGAGCCTCTGTGACGTAACGTAGCACGTAAACTTTATGAGCTGGCAGCAGCTGACCAACAGTCCCTCGAAGTCAATATACGAAGTCAATATATATATATATCTATATATATATATATATATATATATATATATATATATATATATATATATATATATATATATATATATATATATATATATATATATATATATATATATATATATATGTGTGCAGACGTGGTCCTAATCCTAATTCGGACAAAGAATGAATGTTATGTCACGTTATTGATGATCTGTTATATATTTATGGATGCAATTCAACACTTTCATATGCATTTGAGCAGTCTTTAACTTTTGCTTATTATTAGGCACATACAGGACAAATTACGCCATGGTCATGTTTCAACAGAATAGATACCAGTACGTACAAAATTCTGTTTTTAGAGTTGCATTTCTCGAACAAATCGATTGTGTCGTTCGCTAAAAGATCAACTTTTGCAAGGACACGCTGTTTTCAAGCGATATTGCTGAGCAAGCCGCCTACTCTATCATTATACAGCCAGTAGGCACTGGGAAGGCTGTAATCAACATAGTTTGAGTTTTTTCCGCGTGTTTGAAGCCAACATTGGAGCCATTACAAAACTTCATTGGGTCAGGACAACTGAAAAAATATTCATGAGCCATGAAGCTTGGGCTGTGCGTTCATAACGTACTACTTCTTTTTTTTTTCTTCCTTTTTTTCTCTTTTTCTTTCTTTCTTTTCATCGCATTATACATTGCTTTCTCGTAGAGAGAGAGACTCCTTATCAGAAAAAAACAAATTTTTGCCGGCTTGCAGCACTTCAGCTGGTACTCTCCTACCCACCAATACGTTGGTTATAACAATCTTCGCTTGAAACAAAAAACTTGCCTGGTTTGCACAAAATTATAGGACGTCCATAAACATCCCTGTTGGGCATCACCATCATCAGCTTTCGCCCTGCCGGTCGTGCCTTTCGTGGCAGGAAATCTCGGTAGATGGTCACGCAGGAAGCACGGTTCCTGTAGTAGTTTCGGATGGTTTGCAGCGCTCCGTCCACGTCGAATTTACGCACGCGCAGGAAACGGAGCAGGAACTTCGGGTCCTTGTTTGCGTTGAGATCTGGTTCCGCTGTTGTGCAAAAGTGATAACAAAGCCAGAGTTAAAAAAAGCAGTTGATAGTTTTTGCGCACTAGAACATCATCAAAACAGTGTTTTAAAACTTTGGATCAATTTGTTTACAAGCGCTGGATCCGAAAATGGCGTTGTGACCAAATTAAACGAGAGGTATCTATTCACATACACAAGAAGGCAGGCAGGTCCAGTGCTCTCTCAGTTGTTCGCAGAAGAAAAAAAACAATAGCTTTTTTTTGCAACAGTGCATTAGCGACACATAGCTTGGCAGGTGTAATTGTACACGGATTGCTTACGAAGAAATCAGATTAAATGCTCCGTTTCGTGCTTGTTGCTTTACATGTCATGTATTCAAAGTTAAACTGCAGTTGAGCTCTGGTAATCGTCCTACGTGCATCTTTCTTCGTGCCGGTGCTATTTTTACTCGTAAAATACATGATCTTTTTATTTTTATTTTTTGACAGTGTGGATTATTTTGTGAAAATCCTCGCACAGTAAGGCTACTGTAATATTCGTACCCAAACTCCACGTTTCCGGTGGAGGCGGAAATGTTGTAGGCCCGTGTACTCAGATTTGGGTGCACGTTAAAGAACCCCAGGTGGTCAAAATTTGCGGAGCCCCCCACTACGGCGTCTCTCGTAATCAAATGGTGGTTTTGGAACGTTAAACCCCACCAATCAATCAATCAATCAACAAACTCCACGTTGAGGGGTTAATACTTTGGCGCAGCTGCATGACACCGAGTCGACTATTTACCAAGATCTTGGTAATTAACTTTCCAAATACTCATTTGAAGACACAATAATAATGACATCTAACAGACAAAAATGCCAAGAAAAGTATAGAGAATGTTACTAGAAGCAATTGCATCGTAAAAGTGAAGAAAGAAAAATGGACGAACAGATAACTTGCCATTGACGGTGACCGAACCTGCGACCTTCGAATAACGCGTTCGATGCTCTATCAACTAAGCTACCCCAGCGGCTATCCCCCCGTCCACTTTAAGGGCTATGTATGTGCTTTAAACGAAGGAGTGACAGTCAGCGCCGCCAGTGGCCATGGCGGTGAATGTGGAACACTCTTTATTAGCCTGTTTGGCGTCACATAGCACGTGAACGTATTACGAGTTGGAAGCTGACCAATAATTCCTCGCAAACTACCGGAAGGCACCGAGTCTGCTAGAACGAGACCGTCGCTATTAATTAAGGAAAGAAGTCTACATTTAAGGGTTCGCTCTCCTTGTTAGACATAATAATAATAACAATGACATATAACAGACAACTGTGCCAAAAAAAGTGCAGGGATGTTGTTAGAAGTAACTGTAATTTAAATGTGAAGAAAGAAAAGTGTACGAATAAACGTCTATTTGATGTTCTGTGCAAGAAAATTGGTGAATGGTATTCTACAGACGCTGTGTTAGAGTGCCTCGAGCATGCAGCGGAGGCGAACGAGCACATCAAGTCAAGTCACACGTGAGACATGAGCGCTATCTGGCAGTTATCTTGAAAAACAAAGCGCGTGGCGTGCGCACCCGTCTCGGAGGCGATAAGGTGTAGAACGCAAGGCGACGGGTAGGTGCCACCACCATGCCGTCTTAGCAAGGCGTTGGAAACGCTTGCCTTTTTGTGCAAGCGTTACATTGTCAGCACAGCGTGATAAACGCTACGGTCTTTAGAATCTTATGTATGCCTTTTCCAGTAAAAAGACACATATACAGAATATTGACGTGTTGTTATGGTGCCTCAGATATGTGCAATAATTGCTTTTTAATTGACGCTCGCACAAGTGTGAACGCTGAACCTTGAGCAATATTGGTGGGCACTTCAGATATGGTCGGCCGTTCGAGGTATCGTATGGTGTCGTTTAAGGTATCGTTAAGGGTGTACAAACAGACAAATGTACAGACAGACAGACAGACAGACAGACAGACAGACAGACAGACACTCCAAAATTTTTGCGTCGAAGGTCCCCATAAAAGAATCGTCTTTAAAGATAACTTGCCGTGGGCAGGTGCTGAAATTGCAACCTTCAAATAGCGCGTCCGAGGCTCAACCAACTGAGCTACCACGGCGGCTTGACGATCTGCCGCTTGGCCTTGGGGTACAGGACGGGTTGAAAGCAGTCATCCAAGGACACGTTGCAAGATGCCCAGTATGCAGCTCAGTGTCGTCGCTCTCGCTGAATGTATTTACTCGCTTCCTCAAGACAATGGTCGTGGTGGAACCGAAATTGGACGTCACCTCGTGAGGTTGTACATACATCCATCACCGCAAAGTGCGGGGCAATAAACCCCACACTGCAGCGAAAAGTCCAGAAAAGCACTGACACGAGTGAGATGTGTTTCACAAATAATCACTTCATCTGATGCATCTCACGGCTCCAATACCACGAGAGTCAAGAAAAAAAATAAGGAAGCCTCGACATCCATTTGTTCGTCTTACCTTCTAACAGCTGAGTGAGTTTCTCCAGAGCATCCTGTCTCTTCGCTTGCGTCTCGCCCAGCTCATCCTCGGCTATCCTTTGCAACTTGAAAGGCAGAGCACCTTCCGAAGTGTCGAACACATCGTCCACGCATTTCTTGGTGTACACGCCGGACATTGCGGAGCGGTGAGTGAGGCGACCACCCCGTGAGAGCACCGATCCTCGAACGCCCCTGAGGGATCCGAAGGCAGCGCGTGCGAAGGGGCAGAGAGAAGGACCACACGTGGTTTTATTTTACCCACCCGAAACTCCTTTTTCACCGCATCCCCCTCTTTCTAACCTTACCCCTGACGGCGATAATGTTTCCGCAATAGCGGTATCCGGTAAACAGGTTACTGAGAGCGAGAGAGAGACTAGCGAGTCGCAATGAGTACGCCAGCCTTGCAACTGTTCCACGTCGTCCGTTGCGCTTTGAATGAATGGGCATGCATGAAGGCCATGCGAAATGGTCCTTCACGCCGTATCTGCTTCCCTTGCGCGGGTTGTGTCGGCATCGAATGAGTAAACAACACTGCCCGTCTTGCCTGCAACGCATATGTCAACTCATCGATTGTGATTTGCGCAACATATTGGTTTCGCGTTGGAGTTTCCCTGCTACGTGGCATCACTCGCCACTGCTGTGGTAATTTAATGTATCTTTTGTTTTACTTCGGGCGTGGAAGCCACTTGTTCATTGACATCAGTTGGTCGGGCTGACCATTCGCTATTCGCTACGATGTGCACCCCACGAAAACCTGTAGACGCTTATGGTAGATTATTATTACTATTACAGAATTATTATTATTGTTGTTGCTACTGTTGTTGTTATCATTATTATCTATGCCCTTTGCTTTCTTTCATAGCCCATTTCGTCCCTCAACGAATGCGATAGCGAACAATTAATAATATTATCTGAGGTCTAGCGTCCCGAAACCACGATATGGTTTTGAGAGACACCGAAGAGGAAATCTCCGGAAATTTCGACCTCCTGGAGGTACACGGACCTCGAACATTTCCACCTCTATCGAAGATGCAGCTGCCACAGCCGGGATTCGATCCCGTGGCCTTAGGATTAGCAGTCCAGGGTCATAACCACTGCGATAGGCTGTGATAGCCAACCGTAAACGTTGCTCTAATAGCCTCCACTCTGCTTTTGCATGCTTCCTTCGCAATTTATGCAGCTGCCAAAAACACCTAACTGCATCCAGCAGTATACAGAGTTGTGCCTGAAGCAGCCTGAAGCATGCTCTGCCCCTACTGTCACGATTGTTTCGAATCTGTTCCTTTTATCTCCAGAATTCTTTCGGTGAGTGAATGGGAAGACTAGCATTTCGCTAAGAAGCGTCGCTTTGGTCCCAGAGCAGGACATACGGAAAAATCTCAGCAATAGCTTGCATGAGTGAATACGGTTAAAATACGTGCCGTACCTACACTTGTATGTTTGTACAAGCCTTCAGTAAAGTACGAAAACTCTATACATTACAGTAAAACCCATAAGCCCCGTACTATATCTATAGCTGCATGGTGTAGTTCAGTTTCGTTTCATTTTACTGTTTCTTTCATTTTACAGAAAGAGGATCAAGAGCTAAAGGCAATGTGGCAGTGCAATCAATAATTGCGAGTGTCTGTACTGCACACGTGCAGCGTCGGTAACTGCTTTGCGTAACAACGCCACGTTTCGCATAAAGTACCTGCGCAAAACGTCTGCCCATGCGCGCTATATTAAACGAGGCGTTCCGACGCATGCAACGCCGTTACGGATGTTGAGTTTGGAGTACAAAATCTCGCTAGTGTAACACTGGCCACGTTTCTAATTGCAGCTGCACTGAAATATGCCTCTTGTGGAATTTTCACTTCATACGCAACACTGGCCTAACGGCGCACATCTAATACACATACACGTACGAAGTATTATGCCTCGAGGGCAAGTATATATAGCAATAAAGAGAGAGAGAGAGAGAAGCCACTTTCCACATTGCAATAATAACGAGAGTATTTCTGTCATATTCTCATCAGTCGTTCGAATCACGATAGATTGCAGCAACTGTTAAATATTTTATTCAGCTTGCACAACAGAAAAATAAAGTAATCAGTGCGAATATTTTTATCTTCTGTATTTCGCTTACTCTATCTCAAAAAGTAGCATAACTAGTGGCTATGTTATAAAGGTGCCCGAAGGCATCAATTTAGCTGTGTAACTATAGCGCTTTGAACTAATATAGCTACGCGACTCAAGGATCCATCGCTAATTGTACATAAAATAGAGCCTTTAACGGACGCCCGTCTGGTCAGGAAGAATCATTGAATAAAAAATAATAAACGCCGATCCCGACAGAATCGAAATATAATGACGTTGAGATGATTGTAAGTAGTTTTTAACCACTTACAACCATTTTTAAGCAAGTTAAGCTGCTAGACTACCAGATTATCAAGACGAGTTTCTTATTTTGCTTAGTAAATTACTGTCAGGTCAAGGCATCCAAAAAATACAAAAGAGATTGCAGTTTCGCGGGAAGCATTGCACCGACTTTCTTCAGCCCCAAGCAACCTGAGCATGTCTCGACCTCACCACGCACAATGTGCAATACCTTCATCAAGAGCACAATTAACTTAAAAACTACAACTGAAAAGAAAAAAGATCGAATCAGAAATAAAATATACATCAAAGACAACAACAACAAAAAAAAGAAACAAGCTGGAAAGAATAATGAAGCAGAAGACTCGAATATTCTGCATCAAAGGTGCGCGTTGTGGTTAGTTTACTAACCCATCGCACCATAGCATATAGTGCTGATCGCAGTTGGGCCTGAACACCGTTGTTTGTCTCCGTGCAGCTTCTACCCATAAGTGTGATAAACATGCGCCACATTCTGTGGTTCTGGTCACAGAGGTGAAATCACAGTGAGAAGGAATAATGCGCTTTTCGTTCGGCCACATATTCCACAGAAGCACTAACACCAAGCCCACTCACGCGCAGTCCAAGCTTCACGTCTGTTTTCGACGTAAAGCTTTCCACTGCGCAGTCAATCTTAAAGTGTAATTCAGGTAAGCAACGTGTACATTGACAATACATACATAAATACGTCTTGTGTTTCGATGTCGAAGTCCAGCATTTTCTGATAGAAGGAGGCTACTAAGTACAAAGGCTAGCGCAGTTTGTAACACCGCCTTTTACGGTAAAATCTGACGTGTGCGAGCTCTTCAGTAAACATCGCGTCACAAGTGCTACGTTCCAACGGAGTCGTCGAACGATTCTGAGTTTTCATATCAGTGTGTGTAATCGTGTAATCTCTATTCCCTCTCTTTCTTTCTCTCTTTCTCTCTTCTCTCTCTCTCTCTCTCTCTCTGTGTGTGTGTGTGTGTGCGCGCGCGCGCGCGTGTGTGTGTGTGTGTGTGTGGAGGAGAGAGAGAGAGAGAGAGAAAGAGAGAGAGAGAACAGTTTTTGGGGAAACAATTGAGCACGTTGTATTATAAGTGCAGTTGAGTCATGCCTTTGTTAAACCATTACGAACATTAAAAAAAGAAAAGGTCACGTTTCCCGCTTTCACGCTATATATAGCACGTGTAAATGTATTTTTCCTTTACTTAACTGACACACCAACAACTGTCAACTGACGCACCTCATCCCCCCGAGCAGTGCACAAAATACTGTGACGTTTGTTAGCGGAATCAGTTGCGGTACAATTAAATCAGATTGCGTGTGAGCACGGGGAAGAACTGCGTGTGCCGTTATCACATTTATTGCGCGCAACAACTAAAGTGCTCCGACGCTACTCCGGTCTCGAAAGAAAGACGATCGACGGCACGTGGCAACCTTGGCCGCCTTGTATAGGTCATTGCCGTTCAACAAAGAACGGAGGGAGAAACAGTGAAATATAATCACTCAGTCACGCCTGGGTGCGGGCTGTTTTTACACTAGGATATACGCGTACCCACTCTTGATGTCAACATTATTCTGTACATCGATGTATGCACATGTACTGCGTAGACTTCAAAAGCATCAAACTAACAGTTGTTCTGGTTGGTTACGCAGGTACGTGATGGAAGAGACATATTCTTCTCGTGTTTTTTTTTTTTTTGCTTTCAGGAAAAGTGGATTCTCATGTGGCCTATAAAAATCATATTTCTTTTTTTTTTGTTCCTAGTAAAACTCCCAACTCCATCCAATTTTCTCATGGGGAGGAAACATGACATGTACTTTGCCCCCCCCCCCCCCCCCCGGCCTAGCTACGGGCCTGCGTCGCTTTCTTTGTTAAAAAATTGTTTCTGCGAACTTGAAAAGCTTAACGAGTCAACTGCTAGGTTAAAAAATGTTAAAGGTTTAAGCTGGAAATCACTTTTTCGAAGTTTCATTTTAATTTTTTTAACAGTACACCTAACAAAGCCCTGGTCAGGTATTGTGTAGGGGGAGTGGGGACGAGGGGGGGCGCAGTGCAATAAATTTATACGTAGAGATGAAATTATGATAACACCCTAACGATGTCTGACATTAATTACTGCAGAACAGGCAAGTGAACTCGTGAACGTAACAAAATATGCTGTAAAATGAAGTTATAGTAGGTGAATATATGTAAACAAAGCACATAAAAGATACTTGGGAAAAAAAAAGCACCCTATTCAACATAAAAATTGGTGCGGTAAATGAAAACTGACAAGAACATTTGTTTCCGAAAAAAAACGCAGCTATTAGAGCAGAGTTCCGCATGGGAGGCTTCGAATGCCTATGGAATCGTTATCAGACACTCTTGCAAAGATATAAAATAAAATTGCAAAAAAATTTTAAATGAAAAAAAATTGTTTCCGCCCGGGATCGAACCGGGGACCTTGCGCGTGTGAGGCGCACGTGATAACCACTACACCACGGAAACAAGTCGGCGGATTGCGCTTTCCGAAGCCGCTGGGTACCTGGAGGTACAACAGTTGCTGACTTGGGGCAGGTTTGTTGCGTGTTCTGCACATCACTGCAGAACACAATCTTGAAGTGCTTTTTTGTGGATAGAACGTTGTCCTTCAATGCAAATTGCTGTTCCTAATAATTACAGAAGAATATTATCGATCGCAGGCCATGTCATAGAAATACCAACAATTAACCTGGTTTCTGTAGTTCTAAAACTAAAATAAATATCATAAGGAGTAATGCTGACTAAATGTTTACTCAACAAAACATTTCATTCAGGTTTAATGAATACATTGTTGTATTTTCAAGCATATAAGAAAGGTAAAAAAAATCATTTATTCATGTCGTTATACTGTGGGCTTATACTTTACTCTTCGATACTTTATTCATACTAGTATTCACAACACGCGTCACAGTGGTCTAGTATTCATGGCCCTGGGCTGCTGACCGGTTGCGGGATCAAGTCCCGTCCGTGGTTGGCGCATTTAGACGGAGGGGAGGCCCATATGTGCTTAAATTTAGATGGAGCTGAAAAAACCTCCGGTGGTCGAAAAAAAAAATTACAGCATATTCACGGAGTGAATGATGAGTGCGGCGAAGCGCCCGTCAGTCCATCCGCGCTTCCGTCCGTCCGTTCGTTCTTGCTTCCGTCCGTCCGTGAGTCTATCCATACGTCCATCCATCCGTCCATTCGTTTGTGCATTAAACAGAGAGAGAGAGAGAGAGAGAGAGAGAGAGAGACGATGGTTGGACACGGCCAGCGGATGATTCACGGTTTGCCGATAAAACCCTTTGAAGCTTCGCAACACTCATCATCGTTCACTCCGTGGATATGCTTTGAGGTAGTTACTACATACATGCATACAGACAGGTGACTACCGACCCTGAAAAAGCCGTTCACTACGCTGCCACTTATAATAGTATCGTAGTTTTCTAATTTTAACCCCCTGTGTTAATTGTATTATAAGGATTCTCACACTGGCACCACGTTGATATGTTCTAAAAGCCTCGCTTGCTATCAGATTCATCGTGTGTAGGCCTCGCCGTTTGTCGCGGTTGCGTCGCTGCGTTTGCCGGCAGCTATCAGCAACTTGTACGCCGACGAAGGGAGCAACGTACGGAGGGTCAGTTCACACGCGATACGCTAGATGTGAGCATACACCCAAACCTTTTAAAGTTAAGGTCATGCCAAGTTAGGCAAACATTCATAAATAGCGAACGCATGCGAAGAGGGTTGTTTTGCGCTCTGCATCACTGTGTTTGTGGATGGGTGTAGAGTGGATGTGGCGAAAGAGGCGCGGCGAGAGGGGCGGCGGCTGCAAACAGAAGGTGAAAGGGTAAGTGAAAGGGCAAGAATTGTTTGATAAAGCGAAGCAAAATGTCAACTACACGTGCCGTCAAGGCCGTCCGGAACGCGGTCGTTGCACTATGGCGTCGCATCTAGTTCAGTGTCCAATGTCGGGCGCGTTGAAAGCGAGAAAACGACTTGCCGCTAGTGAAGAAGCCAATTGCGTGCGTGTGTCATTTTCTCGTTTTGTTTTGTTTGTTGATGTTGTAGTCACATTTTTCAGACGATGCTGCAAGCCGGAAGGTTGGTGACTAGCTTCCAAACGCGCAAAGAACGGTGCAACGAAAACCGCACCGCGCTCGCCACGCTATACCGATGAGACACCGATTCGCCATTGCACTGCGCTACAGTTTGAACATGGGCGCCGCGAGGTATCGCCTAGCACGTCCGCGTCAGTTTCGCGCCTATCTACGCGGAACCTGGCGACGTTTTCTTTTAAAGACGATGGTCTTTCTTGGGGACCTTCGACGCAAAAATTTCTGTCTGTCTGTCTGTCTGTCTGTCTGTGTGTATGTCTGTCTGTCTGTCTGTCTGTCTGTCTGTCTGTCTGTCTGTCTGTCTGTCTGTACTATTGTTTGTTTGTCCACTCCTAACAGCATCGGGTATTTGAAACGGCCGACCCCATCCGCAGCGCCCGCCTATGTTGCTCCCGTTTGAGCGTTCATGCTCGTGCAATTGTCAATTAAAAAGCAGTTATTGCGCATGTTTGGGGCATCATGACAACACGTGTATATTCTGTATGTGAACCTTTTACTAGAAAAGGCATACATAAGTAATTTTAAGGACCGTAGCGTTTATCACGGTGCGCTGACCATGCAACGCTTGCACGGAAACACGAGTGTTTCCAACGCTTTGCTAAAACGAGACGGTGGTGGCACCTACCTGTCGCCTTGCGTTCTACACTTTATCACCTCTGAGATGGGCGCGCACACCCGTCTCGGAGCCACGCGCTTTGCTTTCTAAAAAAACTGCCAGATGGCGCTTATGTCTCACGTGTGACGTGACTTGATGCGCTCGTTCGCCTCCTTTGCACGTTCGAGGCACTTGGCACAGCACCTCCGGAATACCATTCACCGATTTTATTGCGCAAAACATCAAATAAATGTCTTGTTCACTCTCTCCACACGCAAGACTATCGTCTTTCGACGACATTTGCAGATTACATGCAGATACGGGGCCAATTTTTTAATTGTATCTCATATAAACACACAACACCAAATCGTGTCCATCTCACCTTGCTAGAGCTGAGTGAGTGCAACGAATGTGGCCTGTTTCTTCGCCGGCGTCTCTCCCAGTTCGGCCTCGGCAACCCTCCGCCGCTCGACGGGTAGTGTGTCGTCCTCCAAGGAGTCGAAGGCTAAGTCGGGATAAACCACAATGTAGGCCACAGACATCGCAGGATATGTTGTGATCACACAGGCCCTCAATGAGAGATTGGGATGCTGACAGGATTACGTGGACGCGAAAAAGCAGTGGCAACAGCGAAGATTTACGGTACAGGCACACGAAATATGTTGCCCAGTCATAACGCCTGTGAGAACGGCCCGGTAAGTGAAAGGGGGAAAGTGTTAGTCGAGAAAAAGCGATTATTGGAAAGGGGCTAAAATGAGTCATTGTTTTGTCGATTGTGCACACTACAGGGAGGTATAAACAAACCCGAGTGTGTTGCGATACATTCGCTTAGCCCCACTTTAGTGACTGTGGTGTTTCGTCTTACTTTATGTCTCCATCCAGCGAAATGTTGCAAAAGCCATATACGGAAATTCGCCAGTCATTCTATTGTTTTTACAACGAGGGTTATTGATGTTGTGTAAACTGTATGCGTAGGATGGCTGCTCCGCGTGGCCAGGTCTATTGAAACCTGATAACTTCCTTAAATAATATCGACTTGGCCTGGTGTTTGTAGACATTTTGCTCAACAGACAGACAGACAAACACCTTTACTGGGTCCTGAGAAACGCTGCTCTTTTAGAGCAACGTTGCGGGCCGCTCCCATGCAGGAATGGGGAGGCCTAGCCTCACCGCCGCATCGTGGGCTCTCTGGACAGCCCGTAGTTGTGGGAGCAACTCCGAACTTCGTAAGGCAGAATCCCAAGAGACTATTTGTGCTTGTGTCTGTGCTATTAGCACAATTGCCATGACATGTCCATATATCCCGTAATTAATTCTTCGGATCTCCCCGTAGCTCTTACACAGCCGTAGAATGCCATTTAATCAGTGAGTGCAGTGATAATTCCGAGTATCCAGTCTGCGCGCACACAGTAATTCATACGTTTTCATTTTTTTTCACAAACTAGTGAGTTCTAGTGGGGAATCGGGTTCTGCGGGAAGTTTGTTTTCGTCGTTCATGGCATATCCGTAACGACTACTGGCTTCGAAGTAATCCTTGTCGGCATCCAAGGCCTTCCAGCACTCCTCTGGATCCAACGGAGGTCGCCCACCCCCGTACTCCTCGGGCAATGCCATGGGCGAGATTTCCTTGTGGATATTTTCGAAATTGTACCCGTGTAGGCGTATCTGGAAAAAAACTAACATAAGAAACAGTGCATGTGCGCGTAAATAAGCAAAGGGTGGGCCGCATTTACGAAAAACACCTAATTATCCAAGTACTGAAACACGTATAACTAATATATTTTTGTGTTGTACGACGTATACATGTACCTTGTGGAAAGGAGAGGCGTATTAATAAATTTGTCAATGAACTAAAGTACATAAGAACATCAAACATAATTAAAAGAAGGAGATGAACGTATGAACTTTAAAGACAAGTGTGTGAGAACGTCACCTGTATTTTCGAATAAAAAAGAGCTCCGGTATCTGGATAAGTATACTAGCACCTAGTTATAGGGTGCCTTCTAATTGCTCCTGGTGCTTTGCAGTTGCCGTTCTAGCCGCGCATGTTGATATTGGTATGTTCACGCTTTCTTCTAATAAAGTTGTTTGATAGACAAGCATCCTTGCTGCTTCGGTGTGCATTTTTTAGTTTCAGTTTTCATTTTCCTCTTTCATTTCGGTGCTGCTAATATTCCCTTTACCCATAGTATGAAAAAAAATTTTCTGATTTTTATATCAAACATTAGCTGCTATCAGCACTTGGATACTATTGAAATTTTTGTTTTCATATTGTACTTTACCCTCTACTGAGGTATAGCTTCACATAGGAGACAAGCTTTAATGGCGAGGTTGGCCTGATTATTGTGTATATAACTTCCTACTTTACCCTGCGGGCTGCAAAATCACAAAGAGCAATAGTGCGAAAGAAAATCTCACTGCAATCCTACCCGCATATAAACGTTCGCTCATGTAAGGCCAAAAATGCACGTGGGGCCCTTCTGTCTTCAAGAACGGCATCAGCGTTCTGAGGGGTTTGATTATGCCATGCTCTTCGGTAAAACTTCCAGGATCGCTGCTCACAAAATTGGCTCGTTTCAGCAGCTCGTGCACACACTGAGCACTGTTTGAGTCTAAGAATGAACACTGGTACAGATTTGCAGTGTATTTGGCGAAAACTATATCACAGTTAGTACCACTGTAAAGTCTAGTTGAGCTAGGTTATTGACTTTCACCTCCCGACGACTCAAAATTGTTAGTACGATTTGAAGCATAAGTTATTCTTCTTGGGTTTCGTTGTCACAAAACCTGCTATGTGGGGTGCAAGCGAAAGCATAGATGAGTTTTGTGGAGTAATTCTAGTCTGGTTATCCAACAAATTGTGCGTGCACCTAAGTTTACAAGCCTAACGCTGCTGTATTCAGGACGTCGAACCCTGCGGTATTGATTTCAGCAGCTTAAAAACAAAAGAGCTGTATAGTCTACAGACGCTCAATTATCTACTTACTGTAGCCCAATGCTCCATATTTGTGCACGACCAATGTCAAAATATTTTACGTTCCTGACACACTTAGTGCGCAGTCGACTTATCCACTTCCTACCGGTTTGGCGATTGACGAATATTTTCCCTGCGTGACAGGAAAATTGGACTACTTGGTATGTGGATTAATGGCGCTAGCCTGAATAAATAACGTGAGCCCATTCTTTTTCACCGGCTATCTTAACTAAGTGCGTCACACTGTGAGGTAGCTGTTGCGGAAGCCTTAAGTGGATTTACGTATCTGTCACGCTTCTCTGTGCGCGTATATCTCATCAACAACCTGCTGTTGACTGATTGTCGCACGGCTACAGGGTCATGCGTCATCTACTATTGCCTCACTAGCTCAAGCAAGCTTCGCGTCAATTATATGCCGACATTGCCTTGTGTAGCGAATGTGCTTCGTTGTATACTTCTTTACTTCTTTTATGGTGACGTGTCAGTTCACTTACCCTTTCGGCTAGCTTCTGTTTGATGAATGGCCTGACGAGAGCGTGGAACACGTCGAAAGCGTACGACTGCTTAACGTTGTGAGCTACCTTCAACCGCACCGGCATGCAGTCCTGAAAGAAGAAGCAAATGTAGAGAAAAGGATTCCTTGCCGTTTGGGGAAGTGCTTTTGTTCAAAGAAAGACAGCATCTTTTCCACTTTCACTTTCACTTTTTATTCTTAAAAGCCTCATCTGGGGGCATTTCATAAGGGGTGGGTGTACAATAAGAACAGCACTTGATCCTTCAGGACAAAAAGGGAACTCTTACAGCTTCAATGAAAGCTTTTGAATTGGTGATGGTAACGAAGACATGGGGAAGCTCGTTCCAGTCTAATTATGCGGGGGGATAAACTAGACAAGTAGGTGAGAGTACGTATTTTAAGGTGAAACACACATAACGAGTGACCTGTACGAAGAAATATACGAACTGGTAGCAAGATATGAGGTGCGTAACTAAGCCGACTGTGGTACATTTTGCGAAGTAGTGATAGGTTGGCAACGCGACGGTGACATAAAAGCGTGGCAGGTCTGTTTTTTTTTCTTTTTAATGAGGATACACTTGCGCTGTATGAATATTGTTAGGTAATTAACCCTACGGAAAGCTTCTGCACCGTCACTGCAGCGTTTACGAGATAACTTTGATGGGGTCCCACATTGCGGATGTGTACTCAAATACACATCCTGTCACGCATTTGCTCCTTGTTAGACAAACTGTTTGTCCGTTGGTTTAACGACTGCAGTTAGGGTGATTTTCACCGATTTCGGCTTAGAGAGCGAAAATGACTTGACCAAGTAGACGGCTAACATTTTTCCATGAATTACGACATATATTTGGGTGAATATTTGAGAACGGCGTGTGTATTTGAGGTCGACGCTTCGACAACTGGTATTCTTCAAATCAGCAACAGTTTGTTGTCTTTAAAGGGCTCCTCCAACACTTTAAGACTCATAATATACTCAATATTATCATATGCTCACTATTAGCACATGACCTTTCGCCAATCAGATACCGTTTTTGCTTTCCTTTAGAATCAATCATGCACTATCGGATTTGCAGGTTTTCGTCGCACGTTTCATGCGCTTTCTCTTTCCTTCGTGCTGGCGAGCGCGTTGAAAGCTACGCGAGAAGGAGGGAAAGGATGACAAGGGGAAAGAATGTGCGCCCTTTCGTCAACGTGCTTCATAACCTTGAGCACCTTATTTACTTCTCCGAACGAGTGGCTTATATTTAGCGTGATCGTGAACGAGCACGCGGGCACGTGATTGCATCATTCACTGGTGGTGGTAACTGACGCTAAGAAGGGTACAACACTTCGCACCAACCTGCAAATAATCCAGGCCCTTTCTCAGGAGACTGACGCTGGCGAACAAAAGCTTGTCTACCGTGAATCCGCCAAAGTCGATCAGTAGCACTATTCCTAGAACTTGTGCAGCTGGGTCACGAGCCAGTTGTTCCAAGCAAAACAGGCCGGCCCTATGAAGGTCCAAGTAGGACACTTCATTGGTCATCCATGAACCTGAGGGAAAAGGAGGTACTCATGATGGAAACTTTTAGTGCTAACTCAAACAGAGTCGAGGGAGAAGGGGTGACATGCCAGAAGCGTGGGGAATGAGTACCAAGTTACTCAATTCTCTTTCCTTGTAAATTACTACTGAAACGACATATGGAGTCATCGCAAATGAGGACTTTTCTTTTCACATCGTACGTAGCCAGGAAACACGTATAAAAGTATTCTAGTTTAATTTTAAACTTTACGACACCTTCCATGTGTAAGCCAGCCCCATCGCGATGAGCATTACCAGTTTGCTAGGCTTGCGAACTCGACGGCTGGCGTATACGAGAGAAGTCGCTGTGAGAACAAATCGCTCATCGTCACTTGCGTAAAACATGTTTGCCCTGTAAGTGAGGAAGCTGACCCGAAGGCCGCGGGTTCGATCCCAGCCGCGGAAATCGTATCTCGTTGGAAGTGGAATGCTTAGGGGCCCGCGTACAGTGTCATTTCGGCGCACGTGATACAAGAACTGTTCGAAATTTGCAGAACACTCTACCACGGCGTGCCTAATGTTCATATCGTGGTTTTGGTACGTGTAACTTCCTATATTATTATAACGTGCAACTGACAGCTGATGACAGAGATGTTGCCAGGACGTCACGAGTTGATTTTCACACTTACCCCCGTATTCTAGAACCTCCCTTCACTCAACACTTCACCTTCACTTGAGAAAGCCGATGGAAGCGTCGTCTCTAGGCACGGCAAGTCACTGCATATCAGCGATAATCAGCCACGATTCTTGAGTAGCGCCGCGTCATTTTCAGCCAAGTGGTGGCGCAGTGCTCAACTCTGTCAAGTGAAGGATGGAAGTTGAGTCGAGGAGCGTTTGTGAATACCGGGGTGAGAGATATGCCACATTGTGTTGACACGTCCCTGCAGTGCCAGCTATACATACTCAATATCCAAACCAAAAGTGATTTACAACAGTACAGAATTTAAAATGTATTCAGTGCTTTCCGAGGCAACGCGAGTGTTTCATTAACACCAACAAGATGAAAATGTCTCAGATTTGTGACAGCTATATATCTTTCAAAGAGAAAGTTTTTAGACGTGAGCAAGCGTTTCGTTTTGCACTTCTTTAGTGACAACACCCCCAACACTCTGAACCAGATGCTGCGTTCACAGAGAGTCCTTACATTTGAAATGCTTCTAAGGGCGAGCCTCAGCCCATTCATATGAGGGACATGTTGTTAAAGGAGCACTTGCACGCACGTTTCGCTTGCCTGGTTTCAAGAGCAATACCGGCCGCCCGAAGACGTCTTTGTCCGGCAGTATCATGACGAGCTGTCTCGCCGCCGCTGGCACAGTGCAGGGCAGGAAATCCCGGTAGAGGGAGTCGCTCGAAGCCTTATTTCTGTAGTAGTTTTTGATGGTTTGAAGAGCCGACTCCACGTTGTACTTTCGGACGCGCAGAAACCGGAGCAGGAACTCCTCGTCCCTGTTGGCATTGAGATCTGGTTCGGCTGGGGATGAATTCCAGGTACGCAACATTTACCGACAAGTGAAGATTTGACGGAGTTTAAATATTTAAATAAATGGGAATTTCCGTCGCCTCAAAATCTCAGTTACACTTCTAGGGCACAAATAACAAAGAATAAAGTCACGACGAGCACTGGACTTACTACAGAAAAAAAGTTCGTGAATCCTTACTACTGGGGCATAATCACTGCAATCATGAATCCGTGCACATTAAAGTCAACTAACACAAGGGAACGACAGAAACGCCCGCCAAGTTCTTTTATGTGTGTGCACCCTCCGTAACACTAGAATGTCCGTGTTATTTTTTCGGTCTCCTCTTCGTCCATGTCTAGTTTTGCGCTACGAATGATGAATAATCAGGTATATTCATAAACTACCCGCTGAGATGACCATATGATGGACAATGCATTTTCAGGGTGTTACAGCTAACCTGCACCTTGTTGTTGTTTTTTTCTTATTTCACCAACTTTGAAAAAAAATTGAGGGAAGAATTAGACAAGGCGGTTAACTTAGCAAGGACAAAATAGACCAACGTTTGTGAACAACCATTATTACCTTGCTATCGAAGACCTGCGATAGCGTTACTTTTTACCAAAATTATTGAAGCAATCTTTGTTATTTACCCATTATGCCAAGTTGAAATAATCCGATGTTTCTGTACAAGCGCAGCAACTTCTTTATTCAACATCTGTCGCTATAGTTACTGTATCATATATGTTAATAAAACGCGGCTTTGTGGATTGAAGAAACATCATGAAATACCGCACATGGCTCAAAACAAAACTGGATTCATTCGACAAGCTTAGCACGTGTACTTGTTTCTAAATACCTGGCATTAGGTAGCTGTAACACTGTGTTAGTAGTACCCTGGCTTTCTTCTTGCTTTTACTGCCAACTTAGAAAAGGCCATTTTTCCTGAAAATTTTCTTAAACATTGTGAGAAGACCAAGACACAAGTAAAAAAAACATTCAGATCACCACAGCGCTCATGGTGTTCTGAATGTTTTCCCAGTTGTGCTATTGTGTTCTCGCGCAGTTTAAGGAAGTTTATCAACGATGAACCAATACTAGCCTGCCAGAACGCATTACTAAAGTACTGAAACTTCAATGGAGACAAAATTGATAACTGATATACTTGGACCTTTTCACTAAAAACTTACAGGACGTTTAAGCTATGTTTACAAAACTGGAACAAATTAGCCTTATCGGACCCTGTTCGTATCGCCTTCTTAATCATCAGCTTCGCTTCGGTGCTGGGTGGTAACCTGAACCACACTGCTGTTGTCGTCGATGATGATGACGAGAAGGAGGATGAAGATGGTAATTAAGCCTTAAAGCTTCGTGACGGATGGGCCTTTAAAGTACACATTCACAGAGCAATTAACAGGTTTTGATACCTGGTATAATTTTACGCGTTTACCTCGCAATAATACGCGTGGTAATGACACTGCTTGCACTACATAACATTTGTATGGTGTTTTTTCTTCATTTTTTTTGAAAAAAATTGTGAGCACGGGCGTGGCGCTGCGAAGTATTTGGAGGTATTTGCAGGTGTCTTAGTGCTGTAGATCATGCTAATAATGTTGGTCGACGAGCCATATAGTATTTTCGCGAGTCACTGACTTTGATTCTTCGATTGCAAAACATGCAAAAGTATGCACCCGATTCAGTACCCGGTCGCATGGAATTTCTGTTATAGAACGATTGCAGATGGCATTTACTTTCATGACGCTGTTGAAAACTCAAACCCTGTAATAATGAAAAAGAAAAAAAAACATCCTGGCTCCGTAGTAGAACATCTCCTGTAGAACATCTGGTTGAACGTCCCAAAACCACATATATTTATGAGAGACGCCATTGTGGAGGGCTCCAGAAATTTCTACGACCTGGGGTTCTGTAACGGCACCCAAATCTGAGCGAGCACACGGGCCTAAAGCATTTTCGCCTGCATCAAAAAGGCAACCGCTGAAGCTGGGATTTGATTACGCGACCTGCAGGTCAGCAGCCGAGTGCCTCAGCCACTATACCAACGCGGCACGGCAACTGAACAAATAATGCTATCGAAGGTTGATCTATACGCATCTGTCTGTCATGTTCATTTCCTCCAAAGCATTTCTAAAGCGTTGGTATTATCGGACAACAACAGCGGTTTCCACAGCGCGTACGATTCAGTCTCTTCAAAAGTATGACTACTTCGTCAGCAACAATTTTCCAGGGCCAGCAGAAAAACAAGCTGTATACCATGTGTGCGCACTATGACAGCTGTTGTTTTTTTTTTTTGGGGGGGGGGGGGGTGCATTTAGTTCGTCTTTTTTTTTGTCCTATCTGCTTTTTTTTACTTCCGGCTCGCTTTTAGAGGATGTATATCACTTCGAGTCGCAAGCGGCTCATACGATCCAGTCGGAATCATTCTCAAAGCTGAAATAGTATTGCTGCTATCAAAAGCGGAGTCATTTACGCCGAGCATTGTTCTGAGATCCGGAAACATAAATTATCATCATCAACCAGCGCGAATTCCCTTCGCCGTTCTCTTCATTTTCTGCGTAGCACTCCCAGAACACGTTCGCCTATTTGACCAACATGAGGTGCTATAACTCTCATTGGTGAGAGAATAAGTGCAAAAAGAAAGAAAAGAATAGAAACAAGAAATGATATCAACCAAATAATATTTAGGCGATGTGGGATATGGACCTGCGTTCCGAAGATCAGATGGCGAGCGTTTTAACCATTGGCCTTATCGGGCATGCAAGCAGAGCATAATATAGCATTTTGTAGTGCAGTGTTGAAAAGGATACGGAATGAAAAATGAGGGTGAGGAGGACAGAATAGGGGAGGGGAAAAAGTAAAGCATAGCATAGAAAGAATGAGAAAGAACAAGGAAGCGAGAAATAGAGCTTCAGAAAGAGAAAAAGAAAGGGAACAAGGAGAAAAATGTAAACAGCAAGCAAGAAAAAGGAATAGAAATAGACGCACAATAAAACTGAGAGTAGATAGAAACAAAGGGAGAAATCACGATAAATATTGATAGACAAAGAAGGCCACCCAGCTTCGCACTCTTTTGTAGCTTCGCTTGGCAACATAAAAATACTAAGTTTAACATCAAAGTGTTTTTGTTTTCATTGACATTGTTTCTTGCGTTGTTGTTGTTGTTGTTGTTGTTGTTGTTGTTGTTGTTGTTGTTGTTGTTGTTGTTGTTGTTGTTGTTGTTGTAAGGTACCTGTTAAGCTAGCTTGCGCTATGATTGGATGTGCAATAATGCAATCATTACCTGCCACAATTAATTTTGGCAACACTGTTTCCAGACTTGTGGATTCGTACGCTTTCTGGCATGCCGTGCACGCTATACGCTTTATTGTAACTTTCTTCTCATTTGCACTTTATGGTAATAGCCAGTTTACTGGGGTTTTACAAGCCATAACCACGACCCTGAGGCATTCCGTAAAGAACTTTGGAAGCGTCAACCTGTGTTCTTTAGCGCACTTGAATCTAACCACACCTGATTGCATCATTTCGCCTCCATCAAAATGCGACTACCATGGCCAGCCATGTTCGGGATATCAGCTAGCACTCTAACCTCTATATCACCGCAGCGGCCGCTAATAGCGAAATAACGTGCAGTAATATCTAATAGCATCCGTTCACTGTCAAGCTTTACCGGGTCGCGTGAGTTTACATTTATCCTACGTTCCCTCACCTTGCAAACCCCTCAAGGTGGCCTACTGCATATGATAGATGCTCAAAGCCTATTTATATGCACAACGTTTGCGGGTTCGAATCCTGCCCGTGGCGGACGGGTTTCGTTGGGGCAGAAGTGGTAGAGGCACATGTACCTAGGTTTATGCGCACCTTAGAGAATCCCAGGTGCTCGAAACTTCCGGGGCCTTCCACTGAGCCCTCCCTCGTAATCATATCGCGGTTTCGCGAATGTGACGCTATAGAACAAGTACTGTTATTCTCACTTACCTTCCAGCAGCTGTCTGAGTTTATTGAGGGCTTCGCGTCTCTTCGCTAGCGTCTCACCAAACTCTTCTTCCGCTACCTGCTGCAGCTTTAGAGGAAGCGAACCCTCCGAAGCATCGCACGCTTCATCGAAATTTTTCTTGGTGAAAACACCCGACATCGAGGAGTAGAAATACGAAGCAGCCAGTAACTGCTAGAGCAAGGCGAATCTCTATGTTTCATAGTCACGAGGCTGACAGCTCGCTCATATACGAACAGAGCGAGCGCAACAGGGAAAAAACGACAGCTATCCGGCCAGCCGTCTGCACGAAGGACATTGTGCAAGCGGCGCTAGTATAGTCCACAAAGTTAGAAAAAAAGAACGCGGCCTTCGGCAGATCTAACGCCACCTTCAGTAGAAATTGCGACGATGATGCGTGACGCCCCTTTCGTTGACATAGTTGTTGTTTTGTATTTGGTCACATGGAAGTGAAGTTATGTTGCAGCTCCGCAGATTCATGAGTGGTTGACTTCAGTACATCTCTAGCAGTATGGTGTGTGTGTGTGTGTGTGTGTGTGTGTGTGTGTGTGTGTGTGTGTGTGTGTGTGTGTGTGTGTGTGTGTGTGTGTGTGTGTGTGTGTGTGTGTGTGTGTGTGTGTGCGCGTGTGTGTGTGTGTGTGTGTGTGTGTGTGTGTGTGTGTGTGTGTGTGTGTGTGTGTGTGTGTGTGTGTGTGTGTGTGTGTGTGTGTGTGTTTGTGTCGCGCGAGGTGCAGCCTCAGGCATTCCGACTCTTGCCGGTGAGGGTACATCCCAGCCCAGCACCCTTGAACCCGATACATTCCAAAAATCAGACGTCGAACACTTCCGTACTTAGCTCAGACGTCCCCCATCTTAGACCACGTGCTCTGGCGGAGTCCCGCCTCAAGGGTTCACAAATACGTTAGGCCAGCAAGTTCGATGCTGCGCTACGAAGCCCAGACTTGAAGCTTAACTATGGGCAGTCCAACGGGCCTCCGGCGAGGCGGAGAGGCTAGGCCTCTTTGTTGACGTGGGAGTGGCCTGCTACATACCAATTCAAGCCCCGACTGACTTCTATAGAGTTTTTCTCTTCTATTCCAACGATTTTACACAATGCAAGTGAAAAACAATGGAGAATTAAGTGGGTGTGCTATAGCAATAAGCTACAACTAGTGCTCCGTACTACAATAAATTCCAGAATAAAGATGGAAACATTCGCCAGTAATATTTTTGAAATTTTGCAATTATCTGATAAACCTAAACTTTAGCAACCAATATGATCCTTTTTCAGTTCTTTATTGGAAGAATCGTTGCTGGTAACGTTGATCGGAAGAGAATTCTCTGCGTGGCCAGTTATACAGCAGCTGGTTTGCCCGATGTCGCTCATAATACAAGCATTAAGGTTGTAATATGCGCGAACGTTGGTGCCTTGCATTCAAATATTTGTGCTCGTGTGCATATCCGCGTTTTGATTCAAGTATTTCAGACGACTAAAATACGCTTCATGTGATCGTTTGTTTTAGTGTTCAGATATCATTTCATGTAAGATATTGAAGTATTGAGGACAATGCAATTTTAAACTACACAGAACGGTTGATCGTAAGTACACTAAAACAAACTAGAAGAAACGTTGAATTCCCACGAGAAAAAAGAAACTTCGTAAAACACCCTCTGAAATTCAAGAAATACAAAACTCGGCAGAGAGCCCTAAGAATAACGTGTCTTCATACAAAAAGAAAGAAAAATACTCCTGGTCAAATAAGGAAATAAATTATGAAATTTTACAACTGAAAAGAAATGAAAGTTTAAAAAAACGAGAACTGTTTCCGCCCGGGATCGAACCGGGGACCTTGCGCGTGTGAGGCGCACGTGATAACCACTACACCACGGAAACGAACAAGTGCTATGGTTATAATTGAGGGAACATTACCCAGCAGTAATCATATTAGATTATATTGATTGATTTGTGGGGTTTAACGTCCCAAAACCACTATTTGATTATGAGAGATGCCGTAGTGGAGGGCTCCGGAAATTTCGACCACTTGGGGTTCTTTAACGTGCGCCCACATCTGATCCACCTCCATTGGAAATGCAGCCGCCACAGCCGGGATTTGAACCCGCGACGTGCGGGTAAGCAGCCTAGTACCTTAGCCACTAGACCACCGTGGCGGGGCATATATTAGATTATAAGTGAGATACATATATATAAGGGAATGAATGGAAAAACTATTTTTGTCATGCAGGACGCGCTTAGCACGTAGCGGGCGTTCTCCCGTAGGTACCGTATTCCTGGCCACCGCTTGGTAGGCCTACTGGATGATCCAATGCTGGTCGGCGAGAAGTGAGCTTTTGAGGAAACTCTTCCACTTGTTTGAGGTAGAGTCGGGATGAGCGTTTCTGCACTCTCAGAGCATGTTTGCGAGTGTCGCCATGTGCCCGCACGATTGGCACGTGTTGCTGGAGTACGCATTGGGATATGAAACGTGAGGCTTGGCAAGGTTTGGGTACGTGTGCGTTTGTAATAAGCGTAGGGTGAGCGCCTGCGGTCTGTTAGGTTGGGACATAAGGGAAACAATGTTAAATCACGGTAATCGAAGCTGGACAGCATTAAGACGACTTCTGGAAATAACCTTCAAATGCCCTTTATTTGTGTTCGTCCCGAGAAAATCGCAACCTGTAGTCACAGTTGAATGTCCATTGACCCCTGAGGTGTACATTTTAGAACTCTCCGTGGAGAAGCGAGGTCGAAGGCTCTCCGTGGAGGAGTCGGTGCAATAATATACGGCCTTCATTTCAAGCAACGTACACGAAGAAAAAAAACAATATCACCGCCTGTTTTGATATGTTTATATACACATCTCTTGGTACAGGATATAAACATAATTTGCACATTTGTGATCGCAAGTACAAAGCAGTCACAGGAAAGGAACAAATCTTTATAAGTAGAAAAACAAGAGTGAAATTTCACTAATATTCCATTATCATGCACCTATAAATTCAGTCTCACCATGTGGTATGCGAATCCTTCGGTTCTTTCAGGTGGCTATCCAACCAGTCCCTCGAGGCCTTCATTTTATATTTGATCATGTAGCATTTTTTTTCTCAAAGCGTCTTTTTCAGACAACCATGTCCTACAGAGAAGGGGGTGACTTTTTCTTTTCCCAGAGAATAAGGTTTCATCTCTCGACTGGCTTATACCTTTCTACAATGTTTATAAAAACGTCAGCTGGTGTTCAATCTCGGCGACCGTTGCAAAGTCCCCGTTGCTTGTCCTTGCGTAGCCATAGCTGCTGTTCTCTCGGTACTCGTCGTCGCAACCCTCCAATTCGTTCCAGAAACTCTCGAAGTCTAAGGGTGGCGCCTGACCACCGTACTCCTCGGGAAGGATCTTGGCTGGAATTTCTTTGTGTAGTTCCTCGAACTTGTCACCTATCAGGATGAACTGCGTCGGGAATCATAAACATGGGTAACATATCAGTGGCATTTCGGTGGTGGTTGCACAACACTCTTATTTTGACTTCAAAAGTTGTTTTAGACTAGTCATGTTACACATCTTGTGTCCAGAAGTTCGAAGTATAGTTATGCAGGGCCCTTCGTCACAAGTATCTTCAAAAGTAAATATAGATGGAAAGAAGAACGAAGCAACGACAGGGAGGTTAATTAGACATTGTCAAGTTTGCTAGTTTACTTATGGGGAGGTAAACGAGGGTTAAAAGAAACGAAGAGAGAAACAAGTCAAAGCATATGCTGTGACACCATTTTTATTCACATGCAATGCAATGCAACTGGCTACTGTGACGACTACGACGACACGGAACAAACGACCCACGGCGCACAGAGCTTCGCTCCTAAAAGCTCGATTCTGGTGAGCTGTGTGGCCAGACTCTCAAGGTCCTACCCACGGTGGTCCTACCAGCCGCAAAAGGCCTTGAGCAGACTTCAAATGGCAAGTTTCCAGAGTGCTTTTCATGGGCACCATTAGTAGGCTATCAGGCATATGCATCACTAGATACCACGATCGCTAAATGCCAGCCTCTGATGGCCAATCTAAATAAGAAGCATATATTTACTTTCATCTTGAATTAGGTACTATCGTTGTAGATGACATTCATGAAATGGCCCTCGAATGTTCTTCACTTTCTTAGCAAGGCTGCCGCCAGAATTTTTTTTTTTTATGAATGGGGGCAGGGGGGGGTTGTTTAACCACCCATTATGTATGTTCGTGTGCGCGTTTGTATTTGGGTGTATATCTAAATGCATGCATGCATGCATGCATGCATACATACATACATACATACATACATACATACATACATACATACATACATACATACATACATACATACATACATACATACATACATACATACATACATACATACATACATACATACATACATACATACATACATACATACATACATACATACATACATACATACATACATACATACATACATACATACATACATACATACATACATACATACATACATACATACATACATACTGTTGCGACGCGCGCCTCCGACGACGTTACGAAGGGCGCTACGAATCTCACCGCTGCAATTACTGTTTCGAAAGACGGCGACGCCAACACGGTCCCGAAGGCGCCACTGCTTCGAATTCCACCGGGAAGGTCACCAGCCGTTTGGTAGCGTAGGTTTCTCAGCTCGCGACTGCTTCTGCGCAGAGCTGATAGACGAGCGGACAAGACGACGGTGAGTTAAACAAGGTTTATGTACAGCATAAATACAGAGGCGTTACAAATTCGGCACTGGGGCCGACAGAGACGCGAAGAGCCGAGCTCATCTCTCTAACACATAGCTCTACTCTCAAATGGTTCTGCTAACACATAGCTAAACTCTCTATCACATAGCTCTCTTCTCTGACACACAGCTCAACTCCATCACATAGCTCAACTGCGACACAGATGTCTGCTCTCACATAGGACTGCTCTCCAACACGTCTGCTCCTAACACATAGCTCAACTCTGACACACAGCTCAACTGCGACACACATGTCTGCTCTCACATAGGACTGCTGCTCGCGACGCGCCGCAGGGCTTCTTTTATATGCACCGGGCGGATTCTTTGAATAACAAAATGTCCAACTAGAAGCGCCACTGGTCATGAGGTCAGACTCCTCCAATGGGGTCGCCGCTGGGCCGCGTCATTCTTTCTCATCGAATCTGGAGAGGCTGCGCTGCAGGTGGCTGCACCCAAGGACGAGTGACGTCGCAAGGCATTGCGTCAGACCCGCCAGACAGGAAGACGCCGGTTGTTTACTCGACGGCTTGCTTGCTGAGGTGACTCACTGCACGTGGGCGACAGAAAGGCGCCGTCGCGTGTTGATGCCGTTGAGCTGTTCATCGCATCAGGCGGGCTCGCGTGCTGGCCTTGACACAGATTGCCTTTTTCAGAGGCACGGACGTTCACTGTGGACTCACAGGCAAAACAGCACCCCCACCGCCAGACAATGCGCCGGAAAGACGAGCTGCTTCCACGGGGCTCGGATGTCAGGCGCCCTCGTTCGCCAGGTCCCTCCAGGTTTGCCTCCAGGGCCATGGGGAGATTGCAGCTCCAGACTCTGTTCTGGGAACACATCCCATTCTTGAGGGCGGATCCCAGCTCCACTGGCTTGTCGCCACAACTTGCCGGCCAGCTTCGCTCGTCTCTGACGATCCTTGGTTTCAGCACTTGTCGATGGTTCTGCAACTTGTCAAGAACGGATCGACAACAGACAACACACGACACAAGCAAGTGCCCCCGGTCACCCGACAGAACACCAGACAAAGTATAGTACAACATATACCTAGCTACGCGTCTATCGGAATTTCGTTCCCTCTACATCAAGAGGCACATGTGGGACACAAGGCTCTTAAAATGACAATTCAAATTTTTTTCACGTACAACGACGTAACGAATTAGAAAGAACATAAAGTTGGCTTCTTGAGCTCATTCTGGACGAGAGCACTCAGCCCAGGTCTTGATGAGGTCAAAATTTTGCCCCGAATCGCCAGCGAGAAACCGAAAGGTTGAGAAGGCACTAGCTAGAACGCACTGCTCAATGCACCTGCATTAGCGTTTAGCTTTCCTTTTTTCTTTAGCGAACGTCAAAGTTGCGCTGTCGGAGTATCGCGCTCCATCTCAGTAACCGGTCACATTTAGGCGACGATACCTATGCGGTACCAACAGCTGCTCATACTTGCGACGTTCCACAGGAGAACAACGATACGGCTTGCTAGGGATTGGCTCCTCACAAGTTAGCTCGGTATCGTGTTCGATCACCGTCGTGTTTCCGTGACAGTCCGAAAACACGTCTTCAAACACCAAAACAATCTTTCTCAGGTCCTCCTTCTGGACTTCCCTTAACCTAGGCTCTAGGTTCAACTGCTCCAAGATTACCTCCGATCCCCTTTCGATTACATCACTAGAACTTAAAATTTTTCTCCCTCTTCCTCTGAAGCATTCAACAGCAGATTTACGACCGCTTGACGTTGAACATATGGTTTCATCAAGTTACTGTGGTAAATTTTGTTCAACCGCCTTCCTAATTTCACTTCATAATTGGTATCGGAAAGCTTAGATATTTCTTTGGCGGGCCCTTCCCAATGAACCTCAAGCTTGTTCCTTTTGGACGGCTGCAGCAGCATTACCTGACTTCCTACTTCAAAAGCGCGCTTTTTCGCCGATTTGTCGTTATACTCCTTCGACAACACTTGTGCAGCTTTCATGTGGCTTTCCCCTAGCGCTTTAATCGAGAGGTCCGCACGCTGCTCTCGAATGGGCGTTTCTCGATCAACCCTCGACAGCTCACTCCAACTTTCCGCTACAGGCGAGAGCGTTGCGGCCCTCTCGCTCTGACTCAATGGCGCCATGTCGTCTCCCCCCGCTACGGAAACCGCGCCGGTCGCTTCGGCGACGGGCCGCTCGCGTGACTGCTCACATGACTCACGAGGAAAATTTCCTCTCTGAGGTTCCGTCGACCCGCCGACAAAGTCACTTGAAAGTTCACCGCATTGAACAAGATCAAGCCCTGCGAAAGCTTCCGCGCTTGCGATCGCGTGAGGGCCATGTACGCTAAGTTGGGGAAGAACGATTTACACTGCTCTTTGAGAAGCTGCTCTGAGTTGTTCGAGAAAAGATAAGGAAAACGATCGGGAAGCGCGGCAGACACAGCAGCTTCGGTGCGAAGCTTACCGAACGGGCCTTCAATGACAACCGTGGCGATTGGTAAGCAAGCACTCTGCTCCTCGGCGACTTGCCTGATCCACGCGCATTTTCCTGTAAAGTCATCCTGAGACACCAATGAAGGATGGACAACATCCATGGTTGCCACTGAGTCGCAAAGTACTCGACACGTTTTCCCATTCAGACTAATTTCTTGGATATACGGCTCCAACAACCGCATGTTCTTTTCCGATTCTCGGATTGTTGTAAAAGCAAACTTTTGGTTACAGTTTATCGCGATGTGCCCTTCCTTTTTGCAGTTGTAGCAGATTAGCGGCTTCCGTTTGTTTTCCGATTCTAGGATAGTTGCAAACTTTTGCTGACAGTTTATCGCGATGTGCCCTTCCTTTTTGCAGTTGTAGCAGATTCGCGGCTTCTGTTTGTTTTCCGATTCTCGGATAGTTGCAAACTGTTGCTTACAGTTTATCGCGATGTGCCTTTCTTTTTTGCTTTCATCCTTTTCTAGGCGCACTGTCCTGCTATGCAACTTTCGGCGAGTATAATACTCCTCAGCTAACTCTGCTGCCTTGTTTAGCTGTACTTCACCAAGTTTGTCCTGCAGCCAAAGTTTGACATCCTCCTCGATACAGCGGTAGAATTGCTCCACTGCAATGCATTCCACCACTTTATCGCGGTCGTCATAAACACATTCGCCCTTCGCCCTTGAGCCATTCAATTAAATCGGCTTTAAGACGAAACGCGAAGTCAACGTGTGATTCATTCCCCTTTTTAGCATACCGGAACCTTTGCCTGAAAGCCTCGGGCGACAACTTTTAACGTCTCAAGAGCCCTTCCTTAACCTCGTCATAGCTCTGAAACGCTTCCCTCGACAAGCAAGTTATCGCGTCGGACACTTCGCCGGGAAGAAGAGCTAACAGGTTCTGCGCCCAAAGAGACCGCTCCAAAGCGTTTCGCTCACAGACGGGTTCAAACTTGACGAGATACTTTGCCATGTCCTCGCCTACTACGAACGGTGGCAGTTGGTCCCGAATTCTATAACCGCTGACCTGAATCGTCGGAGAAGCTATGCTAGGCGCCTGCGAACACTGTAGGATTGCCCATTTCTATTCGTTTCAACTCGAGGCGTACCTGTCTCTCGGCCTCCTCGCGCTCGCGACGTTCGCGCCTTTCAGCTTCTTCACATTCGCGAACTTCTCGCCTTTCAGCTTCTTCACGTTCGCGAGCTTCTCGCCTTTCAGTTTCTTCACGT